CCCTCGTGCGACGGTGCCTCACCCTGAGAAGCTCCTCTGGCAAGTCTCCTCCTTCGTTGATCCCTCTGTTCATGGAGATGAAACGCTCCACGGGGGGCTTGTCTCTGACGTTGGGGTTATGCAGGCTGGTGTTCAGCATGATGATAGCAAATGAGAGCACGTAGCAAGTATCTGGAAACCAATCAAAGGTGTCATTTCTTCTTCTTTTTTTTTCTTTCCTCTATTGCAGCCTTCACTGGGCATGAGACCGTGCAGTTCGCATCAAGGTGGATGTAATCATTCGGAATAAAGAGTCGGATTCGTCTTCATTCAAAGTACTGATTTATGCATTCTTTATGTCTTCCGTAGAACGATGTGCGAGCTATGCGCGAATGCGGGCACGGCTCGATTACCCTCCGCTTTGCCCTGCTCATGTACGCACAAGCCGCCTCTTCCCCGCTATAGAACGTCATCAAATATTTACCGGCGCGTTGTTGTTAACGTGTTAGTCACCAGAGTGTGCTCGCACCCGGCCAGTGTGCGTCTCGGTGAATAATGGATGTAAGCAGCTCTTTGCTCGTTCGCTCATCTCCCGCACGCAAGCTGCGATGTTTGCGTGATGCGACTTGAATCTGCTCGATTCGCGGATGCCGCAACTCTTGTCGATGGCGTTCGCATACCTGTGGACTGGAAGACCCCCGGGTTGCACTGGCAGTAGCGCGAAGCAAAGGCCTCCATCATACGGTCAATCTTTTGAGCTTCACCTGGCAAACGGAAACTCCACAGGAATTGCCTGGAATTCAAACAGGAAGTCAGGGGGCTGATTCCGTTGGCGTCGCGAGCTGTCAGGATGCGTTTCACAACTTTTTAAATATTTTTTTGGCGTTTCCGCTGACCGTAGCGCTTGGACGAGGTTGAGGTCAGCAAACTCGTGCAGCTCCACGAAAGCCTGCAGCACCTTGATGTTGAAGTCGTCCCTGGCGAACGAGCAGAGACAATCCATGTCGGAAAAGCAAAACGCAAATCCGTATGCAGGTGTTGAAATGGGCCTTTCCTCAGCATTCCTGTCATGATTACTAATTTATTCGCACAAGATGCTGAGAGGTGGCGTGTGGAATCCATTTAAACAGCTGGCCCGGGCTTTGCGTCTCCAACCCCCTCCAGGCATTGGCGCATATGCCCGGCTGATGAAAAACAGCTCAACCCAAAAACCACACACAACTGCGGTTTGTCGGGCCGTCGACGGGTTCTGCGGTGAAAGACATTTTGTCTTTTAAGTAAACTTTTGTTTCAATAACATTCTTGCATTATTTGGACTGGGCCTTGTTTTGTCTCTTGACATGCGTGCGCTGAGCTTTCTTCCTGTTGAAGTCGTCGTCTGCAGCCAGACAAAAATTACAGATTTTTTTTTTTCCCCTGATTATTTTTTTTTAGGGGGGGGTGATAACCTCATTATCTCATTATTAAGACCAGTGAAATGATGTGATATGAAAGATAAGATGAAGGTCCATTTAAGAGTCCCCCCTCTCATCCATCTGATTATCAAATTCACATGAAATTGATTGCATTCATTTTCTTGTGTCTCTCGCTGTGTTTCGGTGTGTTGTGCTGCCTGTTTCCCCTCCTCAGCGTGTAATGATAGCTTCCTGCCCCCCCCCCACTGTGCAATAGCCCCATTACTGATAATTAGAGAGTGACAAGCCTCATTCTGTTTTTTTTTTGTATGGTAGGTGGGCCCCTTTTAACGTGGTCCGTGAATAGAGCTTTTTGGCAGCCACAACTGTAAAATATATGATCATAAAAGTGTCGGGTGAACTTGTAAAGTGGTTGCCATGGCGACCTCCCTGCACCCTTGTTAATTCTACCCCTTCGGGACTCCTCTGCCTTCTTTTCCAAAAAGTGGAAGAACAACAAGATATGGCAGCAGTCAAAGGTGCCGTCGGCGCCAAGTACAAATCTCCAGCAAGATTTGCCAACTCACCGTTCGCCGAGATAGTCTCCGATGACGGTCTTGTTGAGCCCCTCGCCTTTATACAGGAACTGGGCAATGTCTTCTGGGGTGTGCTGAAGGAGGTCGTTCTCCAGTAGGAATTGGATTCCCTAGAGCAAGGGATGGAGATCAGAGGGGCGTGAGTTCCTCTCAAAGAGCTAACGGGAACCATTTCAAGGTGAGCAAGATGAAAAGGTGAGGCCAGAATAAGAAAAATAAGAAAAGTACCTTTTTCGGGTCCATGTTGAATTTCTTCCTCCCCATGGCGATCTGTTTGTTTCTCTGGGATGTTTTACTGCAAGATTTTTTTGACAGGGACAGTCAGGAAATAAGTGGATCTCGTCAACTGCAGTTCCCAAACTCGATCCTTACCGAGCACGCTCACATACTCCCCCCCCCCAAAAAAAAAAAAAAAATGTGAAAGGGGTACCCCGCCTCGAGCGTCTTACCTCTCGCCGACGCACGTCAGCTGCTCGATTTCCGTCATGACCTCGGCGATCTCAAACTTCAACCTCTGCGCGGGCGGAAAATAGGAATTTGTGACCTGTTGCAAAAACGCATGTCGGCCGTCATACAGTTTCACACACACCTCAATGTCGTCGAGCAGCTCCCTTTTCCTGCGCCGGATGTTGCACAGCTCATCCCTCTCCTCCAGGGAGAGATCCTCAGGAACTAAAACGCATGATGGAGAAAGCACGGCGTGAAGCGCACGCTCGTTTGTTCACAGTTCGCCCGGGCGACAACACAGCCAAGATCAAAAAGGCAAAAAAAAAAAAAAACGAGGGCTCGCAAAGAGGATCCAATCTGGCGCCTCGGAGCTGCGAATGATCAGCGAAACATGAAAAAAGTGTTTTGCTGCCGATCGCTGCTGCTTCACTGACTGTTTCACCTCGTTTGGCTGAAGCGGCGATGCCTTCAATCTTAATTAACTCGAGAAAGAGAGAAAGAGTTTTTAATTAATCCATTTCAAAGTGACTTGGCCCACTCCTCCATCTCCACTCGGCCCGAGGGGATAATTCTATTAATAAAACCGATCCAGATTCGTTCTCTACCACGCGGGATTTCCCCGATTTAACTTCCAGCTCCGGGGGAAAATACGAGAAAGCAGAACGGACAAGTACACTTCTTTATCTCAGTTCGTCCTACGAAGGCACGTTAAGTATGTTTGATCTTGTGTCATTAGGTGCCACAAATCTCTCCGCGGGGCTAATATCGCCTACGCGTCGGAAGGAAAAGAACATCATTCCCTCGATTTACACGGACGTACTGTTCATTGGTCATGCCCACGTCGTATGTGCAGCCAGTTTCGTTGGCTTTGCCTTTTCGCCTCACACGTCTTTGGATACCGTTGACTTCGCTGACCATCTTTCCCTTGTCCCGATTGCTTTGCGCCTTGCATTTGTGTCCAACCTCGCATCCTTTTTTTCATGACAGAATGTCTCATTTAAAACAATAGTGTTAAATCACATTTTCTATAGTGGGCTCACGTCATATTTTTTTTGTCTTCATTATTTGCAGGAAAATGTTGGTGTTACGACCCCGTCACGTCCATCTAGGCTGAAATGTAAACTCTACCAGTACCCAATCAGCAAGCTGCCAAACCAAATTTGGAAAAGCATAAGTCTCAGTGAGTATTTATCCTGATGATGTGCAAAGGACAGCCATCCCGACGCATCTACTGTACGCCCCGGGGCCCTACATTAGCTCATGTAGCTAATGTACAGTACACTCACGCATGATTACAATCGTGATTCATTCCAAATCTAATGAACGGTAAACATTTGCTCCGTGCCGTAAAAGACCACCACCATTATGATCTGACTGCGCCCGCGATTCTCCAACCAGCGGCCTCTCTTCACCGGCGGCGTCTTATTGGCCTCTCCAAACTCATAAAATCGACTGTACAATCAGCACTCCCATCTTTGCGCCAGCGGATAATCTTGTTTGGAAATGGCGGGAGGGGCTTTTTCTGCAGACCAGGTCTGCCAATTCCATTATTAACACGCTTCCATTAGTGACCTTCCGTGACTCATTTCTTAATTGGGTTGCTTGAGAAAGCAGACGAGAAGGCGTGGGCCCACATTATTGATAATCTACCCGCATTCTTAACACCGGGAGCGTGTTGCATAATGGACATCCACGATTTATTTATTTTTTTGTCATGATATGGTTTCGCGTGTCCAATTTTGAATAAAGAATTCACTGATTACTGAATCCATTTGATAAAGCTGTAACATAAAAGGTGGAAAACGTTACAATACTTTTTCGGCTGCACTGTAACAGTGCTTTGAGAGAGCCCCCGAAGATTTAACGACCATCATGTGTCCAACCACGCATGAGGCTCCCATCGTAATCTCATCCTCGACCCCCTTCCCCCCCAAAAAAACAAATCCCCCTAAATCTACTTTTAGGAGTAAATCCCCCCGCCTCTCTGTGCACCCAACGCGAACAACTGTCCCCCCAACAAAACCCACCCACTGGCTTTAACCGCTTTGATTTAAATGAAGGCACCCAAATCTTCACTTTCATAACTTTTCGAGGAGGCGTTTGTTCATGCAAATCGGCTTCTTCGCACTCACGCCAGAACCCGATGACATGAGAAGCCGTCCGCTGTCGTAACAGCTGTCCCCGAAAGGGTTAATGCTTATAACCATAAAAGTATGAAAGGATGACAAGGAAGAACACTTTGACTGTTTTCCAATACTTTGTCTCTTTAGTATTTAACCTGATTAAAATGTCGGCCCTAAGATGGCATCATTACGATGCTCCTGTATGTCCCCTGCGGTGACTTTTTTGTTCGACGGTGCCCTGTGAGACTTGCCTCATGTAAAAAATCCAGCATGTGCCTTGGCTTAGTAAAGGTTGAGCAACATTGTTATCAAGCACGTGGAGCTCGCCGAGAGTGAAAATCCCACGCTCACTTAACATAGGCTGCTGCGTGGCTGGGAGTGGATTTAGCCATGGTTCCCCTGGCTTGATTTAGCGACTTAACGCACTGTAATACTTCAAAAAAAAAATGACCTCTGTTGCTCCGCTTTGCAGTACCAGCAAACAAGTGGGTCTCTAATCTAAACCCCACCACTTCCCCCTCATCGCCTCCCACTGTATAAGCATTCACATTACAGCCCGGGTTGTATAGATAGACATGCAGACGTGGTGAGACGAACACATACACACACACACACACACACACACACACACACACACTCACCCTCAGCGGGAAGGCCAGCTGGCACTAATCCCGCACACTTCCCCTCCCCCCTCAAAGCCCCGATACGAGCGGAAGTGTGATGTATGGGCGGCCTATGCACAGATGTTGCAGCTGCCCGATTCTAACCTACTTTGCTTTCGGCTGGATAAGAGGAAGCGCGCGGAGCGGCAGATAGTAGGCCTTGCTTGCTGTTGTGTGCTACTCAGGGTGTTTGGGCCTGGTGCCACTGTGCAAAAAAAAAAAAAAAAAATTAATGGGGATGTCATCATAATGCAGGAAGGTGGAAGTTATTCAAAGACTTGCAATGTTGTCAATGATGGAGCAGGGGCTGTAATTGGGAGAAGACGGCCCAGATAAATCTGGGGCGTGCATGAATGTTGCTTCTTGTCCTGACTGAATAAACCAGATTATTGTAATATATTTATACATTATTATCTTTACATTACATAGTACAGGAGCTCCCCTATTCGCGTGATCGGAAAGATTTGGGGAGCTTCTAGTTCTTTTATCGCCTGATGATTTGTTGATTCGTTTGGAGTTTTTTTTTTTTGCATTATAAAAGACACCGCTTTCAACATTTCATGTTTGTGTAACTTGAATGCATGATTTGCTTAGTTTGGAGTGCCTCGTTGTTAGCCGAGAGTGCATGCAGATCAGAGAGGAAAAAAAATATATTAATTTTTTGATATTTAAGTGAATTGTATTTATTTTATTTTATTTTTTTCACAACAGCCAGGATTTGGACTGGGGTGTCGGACTGCCGTGAATTCTTTAGAGCACCCCGTCTTCCCTGAGCGCGCACATGTCACAGAGACAAGTCAGAAGAGCCAAGATGTGGGGTCAAATGTGACAGCCAAGTTCATTTGACTTTTTACATTCGTTTTTTTCTCAATTTTCAATGCCATTCATTGGATTTTCATTTCATTCATTTGAGCCAGGCAAACTGTTTACGCCTCTGTTGGCACCCAACCAATAAACCAGATTATTGTAATATATTTATACACAACCATTATAATGCATCTACTGTCTTTACATTACATAGTACAGGAGCTCCCCTCTTCGCGTGATCGGAAAGATTTGGGGAGCTTCTAGTTTTAGTTGTAACTACCCCACAGAGTATAGGGGGCTCACAGAAGCTGATTGCATGGGTTAATCTTCGCTTTTTGGGGATGGGGATCTCCAGCTGAGAACGCATTTGCAATGGGGGTGGTCCGCACATGATGTCCTCATTCGATCACACATCTGCTCAGCATCAGCACTATGATAATATATTCGAATCAATGGCCGGATCGGAGAGGTTTTGCCGTGGTATGTTGGCAGGCCAAAATAATCAGCATGTGAGGATTTGATCGGCCTGAGAATAAAACACGCTGATGGTTTTTTTTTGTTGTTTTTTTTTCCTCGCATCTGGACAGGGTTAGGGTCAGTCCAAACATCTCTGTTGTGGTTCACTCATTGGTGACCGTGCGGGTTATAGACTCCACTGTCGGTGGAGATCATAAAAAGTGTGTCAATGCAAAAGTTTAACAATATGTTCCAGATTGCAGCCAGTGATCTTTTCAAACTGATGTCGTGATTCCTGGCGAACGCAAACAAAAGCGAGAAGACGCGCCGCGCCGACACGCTGACAGGTGACACACATTTGAAGGATCATTTCCTGACACACACCTCGGCTGCCTGCTCCGGGCGTCAGGCAAGTGACGGACAGGAAGCGGAATGAATGTAATAATCCGCCCGATAAGCTTGCTGACATTATTGCGATGTGTATCCAGCATGAAAAGCAATTTTGAAATGCGCTCTGCGATCTGCACGGCAAATGAGTTCTCTGATATCGTCTTTGAGTTTGGGGCAGGATGTCACAGCTGACGTGCTGTCCCTTGCCTTCAGGTTTACTGCTTATGCATGGGCGGAATGTCACCTGTGCTGCATCTATCTTGTGCGCGGAACAACTGACGTCGAATGCAAATGTACTCACCTTGTCGCCGACAGGAATGAAAACATGTACTTGAACAAGAACAAAGTGCAGGAAATTAAATAGATGCGCGCCAGGATATTTTATTATGGTAAGAATGAGCTGGGTGTTAGCGCACCTCTCCATTACTACTAAGAGAGCCAAGAAAGAAAAAAAAAAAGTGGAGATGGATTCAAATGCCTTGTTTTGTATGCTCAGTGAATTTCCATGAGTAGGATTCTCGGTGCAAGTCTGCGCTCTATTCATTTCAGTTTCTCCAAACGTTTGTGATTCGTGACTCGCAAGTTCACTTTGTTTGAGATTTTAATTTATCCTCTTCACAAAAAACAAACAAAAGAAAAAGTCAGATTCACTTTTTTGTGGACCAAGGAACTATGTTGAAATGAGCTGAGTAGCTTCATTTCGATTGTGGTGGTGCTTTCCTGCTGTCTTGTGGCATTTTTTGGTGCCAAGGAACTTTCCTGAAGTGAGCGGAGGAGCTTGAGAGAAAAGTAGTGCTTTGCCATCACCTACCTGCTGGTATCGTGGTGCCAAAGAACTACTCAATGTTTATATGAATCATTTTGATTCAAGTATAGTTTTGCCAACCTTCTTATGGCATCTTGGTGCAAGGAACTATGTTTATGTGAGTTGAGGAGTTTCATTTGGATTAAAGTCGATCGTTGCCTGGAAACTATGTTGAAGAAAGTTGCGGAGCTTCGGTTAGACAAAAGCAGTGCTTTTCCGCGGTCTTGCGGCATTTCCAGACAACTTTTTAGAGGGGGCGTCAATTACTTGCAATTCTTTGCTATTCGCCGCAGGGTTTCGGTCCCGAGCAGAGATTAGCAGAGGCACACTGTATGCAAGAATGGACTTTTTATACAGTCCACTTGCATTGGGGCCAAGGGACCAGATCTAGCAGCAGGAGCTCAAATTGAACGGTATGGCTTTGCACCTCAAGATGACTTCAGTCCAGCTAAGCACCTCTGCAGAGATCCGTGCACTACTTGTTACTATTCTCGTCAATTTTTTTTTTTTTTTTTTTGCAAGTGCCTTTTCCCGTCTCTCCTCCGCACAGACTTGGAGAGCTGCTCCTTTTCGACAGGCGATAAATCCACGAGAGACTACCTCTCTGTTGAGTGTTGCCTCAGTAGCGAACCCATCCCATCCACCTACACACACACTACCATGGTGATGGGAACATGCAGGGAAGCGTTCTCAGTCCTCTCCTAATCAGCCCCATATGTAGTCTCCTCTCTCAGCTCTTCATAGTAAAAAAGAAAAAAAATATTTTACAAGGTCCCACTCACTCTCATGCGCATTGACTCGCTGTTACTATCTGGGTCGATGCGTTCGGCACGGAACATGTGCCGCATCATATCAGTATATTTAATCTTCTACCGTTGCCCCACAAAGCACTGTAATCTTGGCAGTCAAAAGCAAATCACAAAATCTTGTCTTAAGCCGTGAAACAACACAACTGGGCGAAGATTGCTGTGTAGTAAATCTTGGTCGGCACACAAAGGAGATGTTTTTTTTGTTGTTGTTGTTGTTGGTTTTAAGACATTTGGATGGGGTGAATTCAATTTGGCTCAATGCTTTTATAGCAAAGCATTTTTCTTCCTTGCAGATGGGCCAACAAGAGACATTAACAGGAAATCTTGTTTTTTTTTTCCCCCCTCCCCAAAATGACTTCAACTTGAAAACAAAGACAGTCACAAGACTGGATTCATTACTTGAGTGTTTTGTTTCTGAAAGTTTTGGATTCCTTTGACTCTCTTTGTTTTAGCTATTGTTATTGAACGCTTGCAACTCAGAGTGATGAAGCTTCCCATTTTGGAATGTTTGTGAAAAGGAGTGGGAGCGAAACCCATTTAAAAAACATGCGCTCGCTGTGATATATTTGCTGAGACAAAAACATTGTAACAACCGACTTCTTTGCTGAAGATTACGATCAAACCATTGATTGTTTCTAGTTCTTTGATACTGCATAGCTACAATTTACTTACAAGTGGATTTGTTATAAATACATTTTCAGCAACTGAATTTTGGCCTGTTTTGCTGCCGCCACTCCTCCAGGGCATACATAAATAAACTTGGCTCGATTTCACAAGACATAATCTGCCATCCAACCATTCTCCTGCAGCCAGTTCACCTCCAAGCTGCCCCAAGTGACTGGCTGCTGCCCTCCCACACACACTGGGCCTACAGCCACAACAAAGAGCGTATCCTAATCACACGACTTCCCCCTTCTAACTCACTAATTCCCTCAGAGGCGCAGTGCAAGATGCCAAGGAATCAAACATACACTGAGTGGATTCAGGCTTTGACAAAAGCCGCCTTTGGTTGACTTATTTTTTTTTTCCCAGCAGTTAAATGTCTGCTAGGTTCAGGGGGATAAGTTCAACTAGGAAAAAAAAAGCAGCAGAGAAAGGTATACATAAAGGCAATAAAAACCCAACAAATTTCTGCTCCTCTTTCCATTTCTCCATCCAGCTGTAAGCTCAAAACACATGTCTACGTTGCTTACCCGCCCTGCTCGTTGCTAGTGCTTTATGTAAACTGCAGCTGTTCTGTTCAAGAAAAGCCGTAAATATAAAACAACCGAGGCCAGTCGTCAGTGCATATAAAACACATCAGCGCCGCTCATGCTTTTATCCCGCATATAAATTAGAATGGATCGCAAAATGCAGGCCAAAGTGCAGGGAGGGTTTGTGCACTTCCTCCTTCCCAGGACCACGTGACTCCGTCTCTCGACAGGATGACAACCCTTCAGGGATTAATCGTGTTGTTCTCACCGTGGAGCTAATTGGCTTTTTTATTTGTGTTAAATGAAAATGCATGTTCGACACTCGAACTAACATAACGTGGAAGGGTCGGTCGTTCAATTAAAAATGGGTGATCGGGGCTCCGGTTGGCCGTTGGGTCATTGCACGTTCGTACTCTGTAGTTCTCACGTCTGAGCATACGCCGCACAGTTTGCCCACTTTCTATAATCGGCCGTATGAATCGCACCAAATGACAAATAACCAAAGTGCGCTGCGCATAAGATCGGAATCTGGCATGGAGCTGCGCAGGAATGTGAAATCTTGTCGTGTATCTGCTCTTGGCTGACAGGCTCCTCTCTACGCTGGTGACAAACTTATCGGCCTCGGCGACACCACGCGGAATGCCATCCCAGCGAGGAATGAAAGTGTGCATGAGAGCAATGTTAAGTGACGCGTGCAGCGGTGACCGTGCCGGCAAGCGAATCGCAGTCAGGCGACGCTCCCCATTAACATTTATGGTAAGTTATCGAAATAATTTATTCGGCACGGGGCCTTGTTTCCAGTCCAATTACAAACAGCATGTCTCGGTGCTCTCTGACACTCAATCACAAAGAAAACAAAAACATGATTTGATTGTAAGTTGGCATTTGAGAATTTTCAAAAGGAACCTATTCTCTGTCCGTCGCTGTAAAACTCACCTATTCGCTGTTATTGTACTCAGGTCAAAGCCGTGTTTAATGTAAAATCATTGCACTATGTGGAGGTGATGGAAGGAGCTTGATTTAGGCTTGCTTCATACTAAAAAAGTGATTTGCTGCCATCTTCTGGCATCCATACTCAATTCCAAGCGTTTATAGGTGGTCTTGAAGCTCTTTTTTTTCTGCAGTGTTCACTATTGTTTACTAATTACTATACCGACAGTTCCGTGATGCAGCAATGTCGCGCTTAGGTTCTAAATCCGGTGTTGCAAATAACTACATAAGAGAAAGCGGCCCCGACAAACTCGACCGAACGTGTTGGCAGCGAATCCAAATGATTTGCATGACACACTTTTCCCACCACTTGTATATGTTTCATCCTCACTTATCAAGTGGCATTCAGGGGCGCTGGATTTCATCAGCAAACTACAAAGCAAGCGAAAGCTTGTTTGTCAGCCTGCCATCCGTTTATCTTATCAATTCCACCCAGTTTGCAGACTTCAAATGGAGGATTTTGTGTGTGTGTGTGTGTGTGTGTGTGTGTGTGTGTGTGTGTGTGTGTGTGTGTGTGTGTGTGTGTGTGTGTGTGAGAGAGAGAGACCTTACAGCGTTGCAACAAGGGCTTCAAAGAAAACGAATTTGGAGAAAATGCGGACCAATTGATGTTTTTGTTTTGAAAGGAGCAAGCGTGGTCACATGCCTTGAGCAAGGAAATTGAATTACCTGCAAGGGTGGGTAGGGGTGGGGGGGGTCGCTCTTTTTGTGTCAAGGTTTTTTTTCCCCCTCTTCATTCTTATTTATTTTTATTTTACTAGAGCATGGATGGACTCGTAGCGCGACCATCCATGCCAAGAAGCGAGTGGCAAAGGAGGGAAAAAAAAACATCCTTACCGTGATTGTCTTCATCCATATTAATTGGAGTGGTGACAGGGCAGTCCTCCTCAAGGTGTGTCCGGATGAACCCACGCAAAAAGATGTTTCCCCTCTCTTATTAGGATTTAAAAAAATATATATAAATAAATATAGCTCTGCTCGGTGACAAGCCGGCGTGTGTGATGCTGTCAGACGTCTGGCCGGAGATCAGCAGATGATGGCGAGCATGAAGCAGGAACGCAAAGTAGCACAGGCAACCTGCCCCACGTTTGAATGCTAATCAGATTTTTAATTGTGAGGAAGGACGTGTGAAATGGGAGTGCGTCCCCCGCGACCAGACCGTTCTCCCCCCCCGCCACCTCTCTGGTCTGATTCATCCCCTGCGAGTGCGTTCACATTCGCTTCGCTGCAACCCGAACGTGTCGACGTCAACTAGCCCCGCCCCTTGCAAACAATAGACGGGCGCGCGTGCACTCCCGACGCGACCGCGCGCACCACCGTGAAAATGAATGAGGACGTTTTTTTTGAGAGCTCGTCGCGTTAAAAAAAAAAAAAGAAGCTGAGGTGACGCTATTGCGCATCAGAAATAATGTCGTTGATAAAGAGTCAAGTAATCAGAATAGGTTGCTGTATTTGAGACATAAATTTCTGTAGCGTATTGTTTCTGTGTCAGTGCATAAGGGGATGAAAAACAGTTCTATAATATTGAAATTATTGTTTTCATTTTTGTGAAAACGTGCACAGACGGAATTCTTGCACATATGTTGGTTAGCTCTTAAGCAGTTTTGGTCCATCTTCGAATGGGATTTTTTTTTTTTTTTTTTAATGCAAGAGAGCCTTTTGTGTGTGTGTGTGTGTTGGGGGGGGCGTCACATTGTTATTTTTGTGTGTTTAAGCCTCATCTTTTATGTGCTTTTGAGCATTAAAATATATTAAGATAATCTTCTGTACATTGGTTCAGTAAAAAAAACAAATAAAATGGCATATTATACATATTAGACATCTGATTAGGAAGTACGCAGTCCCACGTGGTAGTGCCGACTACCCCCCCAAGCACCCTCCACCTCTCCCTAAGAGAAGGTATACACCCTCAAATGACATAAATGACACACATGACGCAGGATAAGGGCGTCCCCGTCACCTCACTTCCTTTCTCAAACTTTCATCCATTGTCCCCCTGTGGCGTGGCACAATGAGTCCGCAGCCTCAGCCCCTTCCTGGACTCTCAGCGGCGAGGCGGGTCAGAGAGCATCCCTGGAAAAGTGCGCTGAGTCACGGGTTCGCATGGGCAGGGATGCACAGGAAGTATTGCGAAACTCGCATCATGTGCCTGTATAATTGCGCTCGTGTGGAGCCACATCGGATCATAATTAGAGCCGTGTCAAATATTTTGCCAACTTATTTCTGGTCTTAGCTATGAGATGGGAATATTTGGCCTATAAGATTGATTAAGAACATGTCCGGTCTCGAGAAACTTGCCATGAATAGCATGCATTGTAGCCCGACGATGTGTTGGAGCAGCGCGACGGCAGCCACAAACGTTTCTCAAACTGCAGTTGGGGAGAGAAATTGTTTTTCATTCCTTGCTGATTAATTTTTGACCTAAAACTCCATCCCAGCTGCTACGAAAATATGGTCATATTTAAAAATAAATCATAATAAATTGGGACGGAAGTGCTGGAAGCGAGCCCCTACAAGGCAGTACGTGTCAGCCACATTAAGATATGTCATGCACACATCTCGGCAGATGAGGGTGAAGTGACCCAGAGAGTTGCCGAGTGCTGACAGATGACCACGTTCATGTGCAGCGAGGCCGAGCGCACGCATATAAAGGCTGATAACGGTCATTTCCCTCCCAATGATTCCGATCATGAAAGGCCACTCCTGTTGATTAAATCCAAAGAGATGTAACGCAACTGTGCAGTCGACTTGTACTTTTGCTCTTTGAATCAAACTACGCTCCAAATCAAAAAGCTTGTCAACACGTTCCTAAGGCGATTGAAAATTGATCTTCAAGCTTCATTTCAGGCAAAGAGTTGTTGACAAGCCTTCTGGGAAATGTAGGCGAGTGCAATCCCCGCAGGGCAAACATTTGGAACACACACAAAGACACACAAACAAAACCAATTGTATTCCAACAACATGTGATCAAAATGACCACAAATTCAAGCATTTATCAAAAACAGATACAATCACATTTCCCAGCTTGTCTCGTGGGTGTTTTTTTTTTTTTTTTTTTGCCGGCTGCTAATTTTTCAAGATGACACTTCGGCATCAGCCACCATCTTAAATTTGAAAGGGGAAATTTTGATGTTTTGTTTTTGTTTTTTTAAGAAACCACCGAGCCTGAGGGAGAACAACCACCCGGAGCCAAAAAGCGTGACTGACGACATGTCAAGCACCCTGGTAAAACATCCCCATCTCTCATTTCCGAACAACTTGGCATGAGACGAGCAAACAGAAGTAGAGCGAAGGAAATTCAGGTTGAAGGGATTCACGAGCGATGTGGAATTAACAACATTTCTGCTCAACAAGTCTGTCGATCACCCTTTTGGGATTTTTAATCGGTTGCTATGATCAAACTGAGGCATGTGGGGTATCTATAACGGTGGCGAGGTCACACTTCATTGGGCATGCCGGATCTGGGGATAACTGCTGCGCCAAAGCAGCAGTCTCAGCTGGGTTCAACCATCTGTTTTATGAGCTCATCGAAATGGGGGAAACGGATTGCAGGCATGTGCTGCACGTCTGTAGATTGCTCATTTGAAATGTTAACTTCAAAACACTTTTTTTTCCCCCTAAATCGAGTGACAGCAGACTTCCTGTAGACCCCAATACAAAAAGCACTCTTTCAACGTGGGTGGTTGTTCTTGTGTATTTTAACCCTTTAAGTCCGAGCTTTGTTAAAGGCTGCAATCGATTGTAAAATTGTGTATATTTGTCTCCAAAATGTTTGCGTTTTTTTTCCCTTGTCTTGTGTCATTTTTACATCCACAAATACGTGTTCCTAACTAAAGTGGAACCATTTTAAAAATCAACAAAAAGGCTTTTTCCAACGATGGATTCAACTACCAAACACAAATGTCCTTATTTCCTTCTGTTTTTAAAACAGAATTTGTGCCTCTCGGATGACGTCAGAGCTCGCAGTCCCAGTTTCAAGCGGCAGGTGGCAGCATTTGTCTATCCCAGTTTGACCGGATGTGCCTTGCAGGGATTCTCCGGCTTCATCGCTCCACAAACTGCGGCTGGTTTTGCCTTTAATCTCCACTTCAGAGTTGTTTTTTTTCCCGTCTTCTTCCTTGGGTGTTGCCTTCCCTTTACCAACTTTGTCTGTCCGTCTTGCCTAGCTGTGTAAGACACAGGAGCGTGCGAATATCTCCTTCGATATCCAAGTATTCAAGCAAGCGGTGTTACGTTCACGGCTTTACTTTTTTTTTTAAGGACCTGTTGATTTTCGACTGGCGTTAGCCAGATAAGCTAACCGAGCTATCAAGGAGCGCTCCCCCGATGCAGGCCATCAAGTGTGTGGTAGTGGGTGACGGGTGAGTTCAACTTTTTGTGACACGTTTTCGGCGACTTCTAAAAACAGCGATGTTGGCAGTTGAGGGCCTAAAGTGTTTTCATTTCTTTATTTACGTTGACCCAGTTAGCGGCTAACAGGCTGTCAATATGAGCAACAGCTGTTGCTCCAGATAGCTCAGCAAGCACACTTATCCTCCTCCCAATATCAAAATCCTCCTCCCAATATCAAAATCGCACACAGCGTTTCATACAGAAGACATAAAAATCAAATGTTGACGTATATGTAAAATGTATCGATTGCTGTGACCATTTCTCATGATAAACCAAGCGCACTTATCAAGCTACCTTTGGACGCAGGGCAAGTTGCGAGGGCTGGGCGATTAGGGCCTTAATAAAAATACATTTTTTAAAAAGTCAATCAAAGACGTTTCTGTTTTCAGTTGGTTTTTTGCTTTGATCTTGTACAAAAAAAATAAACGACAATGACATTGCAGTATTCAAAACAACTTTTTCTTTCCCTTCTGGCGTTTGCTTTATGATCCTGATACCAGCCAAGCTTTGAAGTATTTTTTTCGAGCATTAGCTTGCATCAACTCCCCCAATAATGCATGTATGTGTCATTTCAGTGTAGTGTTTCGGTCTGGTTAGAGCGACTTTAATGCTCTGATGACTGATGATTTTTTTTTTTTTTGTTTCCCCAGGGCCGTGGGTAAAACATGCCTGCTCATCAGTTACACTACCAATGCTTTCCCCGGAGAGTACATCCCCACCGTGTAAGCCACACCAGAACATAGAGAGACCTAACAATCATCTATTTTTTTACACACACCCCTGCCCCCCTAAATGATTTTGTTGATTTATCTGCTATCAGATTCGACAACTATTCAGCCAATGTGATGGTGGACGGTAAGCCGGTGAACCTCGGCCTCTGGGATACTGCGGGACAGGAGGACTATGACCGACTCAGGCCGCTGTCCTACCCGCAGACTGTACGTAGATTAGCAGTGCTTGCTCGTCACCTCTTCAGCTCGCCACCGACTGTTTTGAGTCATTTGCAGGCCCAGACGAGACTGTGCACACTCAGCAGTTCGGAGCCTTGTATCCATAGTACCCATACACAGTCTGGATGGCAGTTGGAGGGAGTGAAAAGACCTCTTGTTACTGCCTTTTGTCCCCACGACAAATCTGCCTCTGTGCCTAAGAAAGTGGGAATCAAGTCTTAAGGCAACACAGTTTTTGCAGGATTACAATGCCGGGAAAAAGTATTGACCCCCTTTCTGACTTGACTTTTTAATCTTTATTTTTTTTCCTTCCCGCACGTGTCACATTGAATAAATCAAATTTTAATCTCTCACTAAAATCACCCAAGAATGCTACCTTGACTTGCAGGTGACGTGACTAACCAGTTTTTCAGGATATGAGCTGTCAGTCTTGAGAACCCGAAATGGATTGGAGAGCTGAGCTTTCAACAAGCAGCAATTTGGCAAAAAAAAAAAAAAAAAATCAGAAAGGGGGCAAATACTTTTTCACTGCACTGTATGCGACTATGAAAATGTTGAATCGTTTTGAGCCACACTCACTGGACACATGAGGTGCAATTGAATTCGATCGCTCAAATTGTAAGAGGAACGTCCTGATTACAAACATGCTAATTTTCAGTTTAATATTTTTGGGGGAAATGCAAAATTCTAATGTTTTAGTCTCATGCTATTTTGTCTCCACATAGGATGTGTTCCTGATTTGCTTCTCACTAGTTAGCCCCGCTTCTTTTGAAAATGTCCGCGCCAAGGTGAGAGTGCCGCCTCTTCTTTCTCATACCAATGTCTTTCCATCTTGCATCTGTTGTTTTTGAGGCCACTCACTGTCCACTCGTGTTTGCTCACCAGTGGTACCCTGAGGTGAGACACCACTGCCCCAACACCCCCATCATTCTGGTGGGCACCAAGCTCGATCTGAGGGACGACAAGGACACCATCGAGAAGCTCAAGGAGAAGAAACTCGCGCCCATTATCTACCCTCAGGGCTTGGCCATGGCGAAGGAAATAAGTCAGTGACAAACACAAATGCACATTCAAACTATTGTCATGTTTACATCATAACTGTCTTTCATATTAATTCATAGTTCATTTGCCTTCATTTTAGTTTAGGCCAAATGTATAAAACCAAAATGTTTATGTAATTGGAATACAGATGAATTTATTGCTTGTGTCTGTTGAGAAGTACCAAATGTTGTTTTTCTTGCTTTGTCCACCAGGTGCCGTAAAGTATCTGGAGTGTTCCGCTTTGACGCAGCGCGGCCTTAAAACGGTGTTCGACGAAGCCATCCGGGCGGTCCTCTGTCCACCGCCCGTCAAGAAGAGGAGAAGGAAGTGCAGCGTTTTGTAAAAGCCGCAACACTGGAAGCAGTCGCAGTCCAAACTCACCGAGCAAGCTTGAACAGTTTTGCCGCACTGCTTTCCTGTTGATTCCATTTTGTTTTTAAATGTCAGTGCTCTTGTCAGACTAGTTTATTCCTCCACCCCCCCCCCCCCCAAAAAGTCAATTTTTAATTTGATCAAGAGCATCCTGGCTGCCTAAGTAAGTCAACTCTTTTCTATTCAATGTTGGGATTATGAAGTAAGTTGTGAGACATTTTGAAGACATTTTTACACTAGATAGCAATTCCTGAGGCCTTCATGACATGACAAGTCCATCAGAAGAAAATGCTGGGTTCTGCACCCCCCTAAAGCCACTTCCAAGCGGTGGTAAAACACATTTTTAAACTGACGTCTCCTTTTATTGTTCTCTAGTGATTGAAGGACCTTTTATTGTCTGACTCAGCAACCAGTTAAGAAAAAAAAAAAGTTTGATTAACTTGTTTTTTTTTTCCTAATGACATACACAGATAATGCATCCTGTTTAAGAAGAATCAATTGAATGCTTGGTGACAAGCACCGTCCGTACGTGATGCTCGGCACAGCAGCGGTGAAGGTTGTCCGTATTAATTCAGTATTTCAAGGCTAACGGGTTGTTGAAAGCGCAGAGATTTTACTCGTTTCTTAACACTAGTTGCTTTCCCAACATTAATATTTCACAAGCTCTTTTTGTTGTTTTATTGCGAGCCCACCTGTTTGCAGTGTGTGTACGCTGTAATCATCAGCTGTTATGCTTGAATCACCCCCCCAGCCCCCCAAAAATGAGCAATGATCAAGTTGACTCCTTGTATCAGTGAAGTATCATTGTGCACACTTGATTTACTTTTTTTTTTTGCCTGATATGGTATAATTCCGTGTTTTATAAGTAAATAAAGTCATCAAAAACACTTTTGTGTTTATTTTTATTTTGAATAATTTGCATTGACTGCAGCATGGTAATTGGTTGTTTGTCAATGCAGTGCCCTATGGTTGAGTGGCAGCAGGTTCTGGGTGTTTTGCACTTCTAGGCTAAAGTCAGGTTGGAAAGGCTCCAGATCACCAGAGAGCCCCCCCACCTCCCGAGTACTGATGATACAGGTAATGGGTGCAAAATAAAATTGGAGGTAAGTGTCTTCAAGGGTGGTTGGTTGTTGATTTCCATTGGTCAAACACCAGCTTGGCACTCACTGCATCTTCAATCCCCAGCCCTGTTAAAAAAAAAAAAGTTACACTTTGTTCTGGCGAAAATAATACACATATCAGGTAGTGCTCACCAAGTGATTTAAACACTGTTGTCTTCTCTCTTAATGCAGGTTTTCCTCCGCTGATAACTTCTCCCAGCTCTGCAAACACTTCCGCCTGAAAAACCAAGACGTCGCCGATAAAATTGCTATCAGAAGTGGCAGCACAAAGCCCACTTAATCTGAAGCAATGGATTGAAGATAAAAAAAAAAAGACTCCCACCCCGGAGAGAATGATGTCACCAGACTCGACCATGGCTCCCTCCCTGCTGTCAACATACACCACCGCCTCCTTCATCAGAACGTCATCCATCTCTCGCCAGTCTGGCCTGCAAGCACCCACCGCTGCCCGGTAACAAAATTTTAATTTTTTTTTAATGGTGGTTTGGCAACTAACAAAAAAAAAAAAAGTTTCCCCTACATGACCTTATCATGGCTTCTCACCTGCCACATGGGCTCCCGGTTTGACCCAGTGCCCCAAGAGCACTGGCTCTGAGCTTGAGGTTACCGTCACTATAACGTCAGCTCCCGTCACTGCTGTTTCGGCGGAGTCGCAGAGGGTAACCGGACCATTGATGGAGCTCCGAAACCTGTCCATCCCTTCTTTCCTGTGGCCCCACACACGCACCTTTCACCAAGAATAAAGGCAAAGGTAAATATTAAAAAACAAACACACACAAAAAAACACTCCACCTTGACTTGAGGCAGGGGTGTCAAACTCATTTTTGTCGTGGGCCACATTTTAGTTATCGTTTCCCTTGGAGGGCCGTTATGACTGAAACCAAATTTTGGTTCAGACTTTAGCAAGCATCATGGAAGTTGACATGTTTGATTTGCTTTCGCGGGCCATATAAAATGATTTGGCCCCCGAGGCCTTGAGTTTGACACCTGTGATTTAAGGGTATCTCAACTTTTTCAAGTCATGCACACCGGAACTGCAATGAATTAATCATGATGCACAAATTTAAATTGTTTACTGACGTTAATACCTTATACTCATACACTCATCCCTTCTCCCCTGTTCAAATACTCCCTTGGCATGTTTGAAAACCATTTGCATTCATTATTATTGAAACACACTTAAAATAATGCAAACAAATTTAAATACATAATACAATGAGAAAGCGCAAGTGCAACGGAAAAGAAAAAAAATATATTGTAGTGTTACAGTGTACGATCCCTGTGTTTGGGGTTTCATAAACTACGCCACTAATAAAGATGCGCCTTAATCTACAGCCATGACTAAAGCAGCTTTAGAAAAGATTTCACATTCGATATGTTGAAAAACAGAAAAAGTGTATTCCGAAAAGCAGGTTTTTTTGGGAATACTTTTTTTCTGTTTTTGATTTTTTTTTTTACTCGAATTTTTTTAAGGACAAAAATAACCCTATTCCCAAAAAACAGTCAAACATCTATTCTGAGAAACTGAAAAAGATTCCATAAAACAGAAATTACTCAGATTTAAAAAAAAAAATACTTTTTTTTGTCCAAGTTAACGGAAAAAAACCTGCCAATTTTAAAAGAGCTAATATTGGTCGATTAAATCAGATGACTGGAATAATCGGTCGGACCTACACCGTCGATTGTGTGATAAACTATCTTTAGTACCTCTTGAAATGAAAACATCTCAGTGAACACACTGTAGTGGCTCTGGGCTTGTTTTCCTGTTCCCAAGATGGCCAGCACCTTTGCTTGGGCAGGCATCAGCAACTGCACAAACAGATTTGACATGCCGTGAGTGTCTTCTTTGAACGCCAAACCCAAGAAGGGGGAGCGCAAACCTTGGCGGAGATGGCTGACACCGCGGCTGTCCTCATGCACGTGATGACGTTTCCCTCGATCACCTGTACATCGGTGTGACCGTTAAACCCGTCGGTCGACGTGTACCGGGCGCAAGCACCCGAGTGCGACTCACGGCCTTCATGCTTCCGCTCTCGGGGTCCAGCAGCACCACCGTTGCTTGAACCGAAGGCAGTTTTGAACCTTTCTCACGGTTGTAGACACCCACAAACTTTGTGCTCAAGATTCCATCGTTTCCCATGTACGCCGGCATCAAACACATGTATCTGTTTAATAGAGACATTTTTTTTTCACAATTGAAAACAGTTCCCCGGGGTCTCGGTCTGTCTATAATTTCACTCGTCTCTCACACTAACAGCAAAAGATGGTTTACAAATGAGTTGACACACACAAAAAAAAAAAATGCACCCGATGTGATGTTGCCAATTACTACTCTCCTACCACTGTTTACCCTGTAATTAAAAATTGTCAACCGTTTAAATTGTTTCACTAAGGGTTTCGCTTAAAGAGACACTTTTTGCAATTTTTAGATAATTCCATAGTCATTTGACTTTCTTTTTGATAAAATCGAAAAAAGGGGAGTAAAATTGGGAATCAGATTTTAGGGAGAAAATATTGGAGGGATTTTTATTTTATGCCCATATTGTCCAGCCCAATAAAAGTTTGGGACACATCACGACGGGTCTCCCGTGATAAACGGAGGTTCTGTAGATCAGGCACGTCTCCAGGATTTTTTTTCTCTCCTGGGGCTAAATGAATAGAATATAAATATAAATAGAATATCAAATAAAATGCTGGAGGGGCTTAACTGTGTCTAGTTATTCCCGTCACAGCCCCGTCACAGAATTCTGACGGGGCTGTAACCCCCCCCCCCCCCTTGTCCGGGTGTAGCGCCAACCCCGCTGTAGAATAGTTCCGAATAAAATGTGCAACAAAAAAAAGTACAAAACTATTTTCCGAGCACTTCATTAACCACCGCGATTAATATTCTGTAACATATACTGCATATAGCATGCGAACACCGTTTACCCGTTAACTTTCTTCAACGGCAAAGTAGCCCTCACGGGTTGGATCACCTCCGAAACGTCCCTTCGAGAAAACTTGGCCAAAGCTTCCTCCAGGCGAGGGACAAGCTCCCCGTAGTGTAACAGACGAGAGACTTGATGTTCCGAAATGATAACCGGTGGCTCAGTCATGGCTGCGGGACGTCTGCTTGCAGACTTTGGACCGTTTTATAGTCGTGGTCAATGTCTCGAGGTGCGTTCAAGAACAGTAGTCGGAGTAGCGTAGCCTAGCGGTTGGTTCTTGGCATAGCTTGGGGATGTTCGCAAAAAAAATAATTTGCATGGAATTAGTTTGTATTATTTGAAAAGGGCCACTGCGGCCAATAAAAAAGATCTTACACATCTCCGACGTGCTAGAGAAAAAACGAGGGCACATTCAAAATCATCACGCATTTTCTTTTAAAAAGACTAATAAAAAGAACCCCCTGTGACTTCTCGATAGATTTTACAATTTCCACACCCCCAGTAATTCCCATGGTATTTAGTGGAATTGCATTTTGTTCCCCGTTTGTAATGCAAATTCTGCATATTTTTATGTTGACTGATTACCTCTTTGTGTAGCTTAGTATTACTTCCACAGACATAAAACAGTATCGTAAGGGTAAAATAATCACTGTCCGCTTTATGTGTAGGGAAGCGTTTTTTTTTTTAATTTACCTATTTTGAAAATATTTTACAGAATGAATGCATTTGATTATGACCTGCATGTGGTATAACAAAACAAGAATACAAAAAAAAATCTTTTAAAAAAGTTTATTATGAATCAGGCAATGCAACGACAAACAGACCTAACAGAAAACATGAAAAAAATTCTCACATGCTTTTCACAAGCTGATTATATCTAAGGTGAGAGTCGCAACATCCTTTTGTTTATGAACAGTATAACAAAAACTTTACACAAGCAGTCTCTCGATGGCCATTTGGACCGTCTGGATTTGGGGTTTAAGCTGAGAACCCTCCTTGATGGTGACCGAGGTAGCAATGACGGGTCGCGACACCCCGCAGGCGCGGCCCAGAGCCTGTTTGGAACGGACAAACACATACGGGACGTTTTTGTCCTCGCAGAGCAATGGAAGGTGGAGGATGATCTCCAGTGGTTCAGCATCAGCAGCCATCACGATGAATTCTGCTATTCCTCTGTTGAGGGTCTTGGTGGCTGGAAGTGGGGCAAAAAAATAGAAGCAACGTCAGCAACCCTTTCAATCCCAAACTTCGGGGAGTCACGACACATTTTACTTGGGCTGCTGGTATCATATTCACAAGAGCAACAAACTTGAAATTTTGTTTTTTATTAATAACCTAAAATGATTTCCAATAAGCTAGGAGGACCCTCACCTTCGTTGGCCCCTTTCCTCAGCTGCTTGTAGTTGGAGGCTTGCTGCACCAAGTCCAGGATGGTTTTGGTTAGTGTGGCGTCGGCCAGCGGGTAGGCCTTCGGGTTCACTGGGGCTTCACTCTGCACACAAAATACACCCGATGGCACAAGGAAATAATGAGATGAATCCAAATGCACCAATAGTCGCCGCAATGATTTTAAAGCATTTCACAGCTGTTTTAAGGCTAATAGTTAGCATACGCATGCTAATAGCTTGCTTGGTCCATTCTGTCAAAAACATACCATTGTGAAATGTTCTTTGTATGTCGTCCCTCTCGGCGAAATGCTTCACTGAGGAGTATTTTCCTTTTTGCTGGGGATTTGGAAACAACAAAAGTTCAAATTGAATGGTTTGTTTTTCACTGCTAGGAAACGCACAATCGTTGCTACTTGTTACTAGCGCAGACGTCCGCTTCACGTGTAGGCTGCGGCGCATGTGTAGTAGCGATTCTCGTGGAGGCCGGAAATGACATTCTTCTTTGTGTGCTTTTCCTGGTAGACAGAGGGTGCGTTTACGCCACTTACCGATCAGGAATGGAACTACGGAAGGCATCCATGGATGGATAGATGGACCATAAAAGAATGTAGGATATGTACAATTTTCATATTTGTTTTTCTAGGATAAATAAGACAATGGATGGAGGGATGGACATTTATTTTTCCTCTGTTCACTTAAATCATTGTTTTAAATATTTGCTTCACATTTTTATTCTTTGTTTCTGTACATATTTAAATAGGCCAGTTAACAGAGGTCACCAATGTGATGTCCACAAGCACCAGTCAGCCCCCATTAATTTTAACCCTGAAGTGCCGCACAAATAAAAGTACAGTAGTAGGGATGCCTGATCCACACTCCATACCAGTAGATGGCAGTAATGCATCACACTCACCCCGAGAAAAAGACGCAGGGCTCAGTAGGGCACTTTGACACCGCCATATTGCTTCGTCGTCCTGGCTTGAAGGAGAGAGAGAGGGGAGATGAAGGGGATCCGGGGACTCACTCACTTATCGGTGAGTACTACAAGTTAACCGCAGCTTTGGCAATTAACCGGAACGGTCGCCGTCTGTTTCACGCTGTTTGTGTGGCGATTAAACCCTCGAGTCACGTCCCTATAGCTGCGAGGAAGGGGCTGTCACCCAAACCTCAGAACGACTGTACCTCTTATTTATCTGTAATATAACCTATAGTCATAATAATGTATCATCTACAGCAGACTGGTGAAAAACAGCTCCCACACAACCTCAAGAGAATTTAAATTGAGGTAGTGACGGTGAGCTTCCTGTTTAGGGTGCTTCAAATCAGTCTCACTTGTCATTATTTTAAATTTTAATTCAAGTTGTTACACCCATCATATTTGAATTTCCATCCATTTTCTCATCTTCTCCTCACGAGGGTCGCAGGCGTGCTGGAGCCTATCTCGGTTGTCTTCAGGGCAGTTGGGAGCTACACCCTGAACTGGTTGCCAGCCAATCGCAGGGCACACATAGACGAACAACCATTCGCGCTCACACTCACACATATGGACAATTTAGAGTGTTCCCTGAACCTGCCATGCATGTTCTTGGAATGTGGGAGGAAACCGCAATGCCCGGAAAAAACCCACACAGGCACGGGGAGAACATGCAAATTCCACACAGGAAGGCCCGAGCCGGAATCAAACACTAATGAGTAATAACGTGATTGTGATGTTTTGAGAATATGTGGACTGTTATAGCTAGTTGTCTCATTCCACCTTCCATTTCCTGTTTTTCCAGACCAGGCTTTATGCGGCGCAGGCTGCCCATAAGGTGGAGAGGGCTGCCAAACATGTTACATTTCAGGCGCAGGATGTGCAGGTCAGTGGTTGTTGATGTTGTATTTCTTTTCCACAGAGGCGCTTCTATGGAGCGACCAGGGCAGGCCACTTCATCAATCTTCATTTGTGTCCCCTCCAGGTGACCCGACTTCCCAGCGGACTTGTGATCGCCTCCCTGGAAAACTACTCGCCAGCTTCCAAGATTGGCGTGTTTGTAAAGGCCGGCTGTCGCTATGAGACGCTTGACAACCAAGGAGTTACCCACATCCTCCGACTGGCCGCCGACCTGGTATGATGCGTCACACCAACCCGTGTTATAAAACATGCTAGCATATACTGATCTGACATCACACATGAGCAAAGAATATGTTCAAGTGTGTTTACTGTCTGAAGTTTGAATTCACATCGATATAAAGTTGTCCGATGTCTTCAAAAATGAGCAGTTGATGCGAAGAGTTAATGTTCACGCTCTTCCAGACTACCAAAGGAGCTTCAGCCTTCAAGATATGCCGTGGTATCGAAGCAGTAGGCGGTAAACTGAGGTCGGTGGCCCTGAATAGGAAACAAACTCCTTTGATGTTTTTTGGTATTTATTTTCCTTTTCATATTTGTGCCGCTGCAGCGCGTCTTCATCCAGAGAGAACATGATCTACACTGTTGACTGCTTGCGAGATGACCTGTGAGTAAGCACCTAACATTTTTTTTTTCCTCTCCACAAAGCTCAGATTAATGTCATCCTTTTTTTTTTCTTTCCGTTTCCTGACAAATCAACTCAAAATAATCCATAAAATATTGTCTGGACATTTTTAGCTTTGAAAAACAAGTACTTTGTCTTCATATCCTTCAATAGCGACACGGTGATGGAGTATCTGATCAATGTGACGACGGCTCAAGAGTTCCGGCCGTGGGAGGTGTCCGATCTCACCCCAAGGGTCAATGTTGACAAAGCCCAAGCAGGACAGAGTGCTCAGATAGGTGAGTGGGTCCACACACACACACACACACACACACACACACACACACACACACACACACACACACACACAATATAAAATATTGAGCCATCCATTTTTTGGTCCCAGCTGTGGTTGAAAGTCTCCATGAAGCCGCCTACAAGAACGCTCTTTCCAACTCCCTTTACTGTCCTGACTACATGGTGGGCAATGTCCTGTCTGAACATGTGAGTATTGTTCTATTTTAGTTCAGGATAGTGTCAAGCCCACCTCTAACTATCTTTGTTGCTCTTTTCATCAAAAAAAAAAAATGTAGTTGCATCAGTTTGTCCAGAATCATTTCACAAGTGCAAGAATGGCTCTTGTTGGACTGGGTAAGGATGTCGAGTCGACAGTCTTGGAATACTCAGAAATGAATCGAAACAAAAGGAGCTAAATACTTCTGTGTTGTCTGGAGGTGTGGATCATACTGTTCTGAAGCAAGTAGGAGAGCAGTTCCTGAACATCCGCAGTGGCGCCGGAATGTCCGGTGACCAAGCCCGGTATCGTGGAGGTAAGCAGCACCTTTCAGCAACGTGATCTTTACAGGCGCAAATTGAGGCAGGGGTGGCCTAATCATTCACCAGCATTTTTATAAAAGTGCTACTACACATGTTATTTGGGCGACTATACTGGCTCATAGTATTGATGAGCATCATGCGAAGGTGGTTTGTTCGTTTTGAAAAATGTAACCAGTGAATACAATCGTCTATGAAACATGGTAATGATTGTGTATATTTTAGATGCATGTTGTTGGTGTTTTATGATCCTAGCGAGCAATGCTGCAATTGCAGTTAAAAAATGACTCGGTTAAGTGCAAAACTGGTCAGATTTAAAAAAAAAAAAAATCATAATTTCAGGGGGTTTACAGCCGGAGCCAAACTCCTCCAAATCTTATTTGAATTCTTTTCATTTCACTGATATTTCTGTGCGCTCTCAGGTGAGATCCGCCTGCCGAGCACCAGCAGCCTGGTTCACTCTGCCGTTGTGAGCGAGGCCGCGGCGTCGGGCACCGGTGAGGCTGTGGCCTTCAGTGTTCTGCAGCACCTGCTGGGAGCTGGTCCGCGCATCAAGAGGGGCTCCAATGTAACCAGCAAACTGGTGCAGGGGGTTGCCAAGGCAACTGCAGACCCCTTCGATGTGAGTAGTCTGCCTGATATGTTACACAATGTCCTTGGAATGAAACCACAGATTTTTTTTTCTCACAAATGATCCAATTTCCATTCTTATTTTAATATCTTTTTTTTGGACAGGTAAGTGCTTACAACGCGAGCTACTCTGACTCGGGGCTGTTTGGAATCTACACCATTTCCCAAGCGGGCTCGACCTCCGCTGTGAGTATCATCGGTGCCGCAAAATCTCCAGCAGCATGCCGCCCCCCCCGCCCCCCCACAAAAAAAAAAAAGAGAGAAGTGATTTAATGTTTTTTGCATGCGCTGCAGGTCGTGAAGGCCGCTCTTGCTGAGGTGAAAGCTGTCGCTGACGGCGGAGTCACAGCTGCTGACCTCACTCGGGCTAAGTAAGAAACCATGAAATTGAAAGCAGTCATCTCACACAATTGTTTGCTATTCTAACAATTGTTTGAAAACATCCACAGATTATTTACAAAACATTTGAGGGGAAAAAAAAAAATCGGCCTTTAGTAACCGATGTCCCAGAAAGGGTTTAATCCCAATTGAGTGGCTCTCGTTCTCTTTGCGCAGGTTGTCGCTGAAGTCTCACTTGCTGATGTCTCTGGAGACTTCAGAAGGTCTGCTGCAGGCAATGGGCACTCAGGCGCTGGCTAACGGCGCCTACAACCCCCCTGAAGAATTCGCCAAAAACATCGACAATGTCTCCTTAACGGACGTGGCCAATGTAAGACCCTCGTTTGCAGCTGGATTTGTGCTGCGGCCACTGGGAATCTTTGTTTGTTCGCCTTCTGATCATTGCGCATGCTTGATATTTCCTCACTGGCCAAAACATTAGGTACACTTTCCACTGTAATGGAGTATTTCCCAACCTTTATTTAGCCAAGGCACATATTTCAGAAATGTGCAGAAAATATTTTTGGGTGCACTTGTTTTGCAGCATATTTACTCTATTTTATAATAAATGTTTCAAAAATATCGAGTGTGCTCAAACTGTGAAAGTGTACCCAATGAATGTAGATGTAGCTGCATTGTTTATTACAACAGTTATTTTCCTCTGCGACTGAAACACATTTGACCGATGCTCATTTTTGCATTTATTTCCAGGCTGCCAAAAAGTTTGTGTCAGGCAAAAAGACCATGGCGTCCAGCGGGAATCTCATCAAAACCCCCTTCGTCGACGAAATCTAAAACCTCCGCCATCTCCTTCCTCCTCCTCCTTGCGCTATTTCACTTCAGAATTTGTTTCCTCCACAGTAACAGAAAGACGCCATTTCGACGCTGTTGGTCTAAGTCGCTGTCATGTCCTCTGGGTCTTTATAGGTGTAAGATTTGTTTTGGCGTCTGCCAACATCATTTCCAGGTCATTTGCCCACATGCAGTATAATGTATAGCTCATGTAAAATAATGAATAAATTCTATCTGCCTGACAGAGTTGTGGTTTGTAATGCTCAAGCAAGTCAGCAGGTCTTTCTATAATTTAAAGAACGTATTACAAAAGCTTACACTGGTAAATCGAAGGAAATTATTTTTTTAAAAAAAGAGCATATATTGGTTGATTTAATGCAGTGGTTCAACCACTCCTCCGTTTGAACACCTTCTGTTTCCTGTCTTGCATTGTCCCGTGGACAAATCGATGGGCGTGACATTGGCGGGTTTCCACATTCCCGTCACCTATTTTATTAATCAACAGGTATCTGAAGTACACAAATGCACCGTGATTAAAAACTCAAAACCACAGACCTGATTCACATATTTCATCTACATCATTACATCCGGCATGATCCACCCTGCAGCAAAGTCAACCTTCTGTTGTGCCAAGTTATCAAAACGGGTAAACAACTGAAAAAAATTTACTTAAAGTACGTTTTCAAAGTCCACTTTTATTACTATCAGTATTTTTACACAAGTATCTGTATGTCTAAATAATGTGAGGACTTTTTCCCCACCTTAATAGGAATTAACATTGTGGATATTATATCATATAGTTGTGTTTTGCCAGTACATTATATTTCCTTATTTTTAAAAAATGAGATTCATCGTTTTTCGTCCCGTCATATCGAACGAGATCTGGAGGTACCTGAAGTGGCCGCCGGGCACCTCCTCCCGTATGTTCTCGCGAGACTTTTTGATGACAGTCACGAAGAAAGCAAGCTTGCTGGATCTGAGTTTTTGTTTTTTGCAGCTTAAACGCGTCCTCTTATCGCAGAAAAAAGAACGTCCTCTCGCTTGGACATATTTTATTTGATTTTAAAATTATATATATTTGCTATGAAGAAGTTCCAGTAAATACTATATTTTGTTTTCGACATTTCTGTAACATGTTTCAGGGCTGCAGGAAAGTCGACTGCATGGATTTAATATCATTGCTGGATAATTGTAGCGGCTAACACATTCCCCTTTGTGCGACTAATCCAGGCTTTTTGCTGAGGAATATCCTCGGGAAAGTTGTCGGGATGGCGGTCCGTGAAACCGGGCGGTGAGTCCCTCCTCCGAGGGCTGGCAAGCTCCTCCGGAGGAATATAAACGATTGTTTCGGATGGAGCACTGTCACGCTGTGGGATTCAACGCCATGAACGTAATCCACACCTAACCGCGGGCACTTTGAGGTGGGATCGAGCAACAAAGACCGGACCGCCAGCACCACCCGCGTGAGTCCACGGACATGGATAAACTGACCGTGATATCAGGATGTCTGTTCCTCGCTGCAGAAATCTTCGCCATCGCCAGCATCGCGAATCCGGACTGGATCAGCACTGGAGAGTCAGCTGGTAAAACGTCACATCACTTTGCAAAACTTTCACCACTTCCACGTGAGGACGGTGTAAAGGGGACCACTTTTGGAAAATTGACTTTTAAATGTTTGTCTAAAAATGTTTGCCCAATCATCAAGTGTGAAATTGACCGACTACAACGTTCCCCCATCTCTTCGCCGATTTGTTGGGGGATATTCTATTTATTCACCCATTCGCTGTTATTTTCCCAAAGCGCCCTGGTATGCCACAAAAAGGTGCCAATTCAATGAAATTTTACATATCAGAAATATTAGCAGTATTGGAAGGCGTTCAGTAAACAGTGGTGTGAAATCACCATCCTTTGGTCGTGGCTTAATTAGTCATATCTAATTAAGGCGGGAAGTATCATGACTGCGATTGCTTCACTTTTAATGAAGTCTCTTGGGAGAGTTCGACCTTCCACCCAGAGAATTAAAGCACAATGCCTTATGACTCATGATGTCATTTGTATTGGCCAGGGGAGCTCAATGTACACAAAAGCGCAAACGGAAGCAACAACAGCAAGAAAAGAGCCGAGAGAGCATCTAACATAAAGACAATATTTCACATGTCTTCCACCTTTAACTAATCTAATTGTGCTGAATTAAAAAAAAAAAAAACGCCTTTAACTAATCTAATTGTGCTGGATTTAAAAAAAAAACAAAAAGTTTCAACCACTCTAACATGACACACGATTTGAACATTACAAGGCTGACATGACAAAAATGTGGAGAAAGTGACGCGCTCGTGTAATTTTGTCTTAACACTTCTTCTTCCTTATCCAGGCTCGCTGACTGTCGGTCTGGTCCGACAGTGCCAGACCATTCACGGCCGAGACCGGACCTGCATCCCCCCGCACATGCCTCCCGAGTGGGTCACCACCCTTTTCTTCATCATAGTGGGCGTCCTCTCGCTAACCGTCACTTGTTGCCTGCTGATCATGTCCCACTGGCGCCGTGAGGTCATCCGATACGCCCGCTGGATCGCCTTCACAGGGCGTAGGTGTCTCCTTGCTTCCTTCTTTCCTCACTTAAAACACATCTGGAATCGTGAATGATGCCTTGACTTTTGAATTTGATCCTTTCCGTGACGTTGCTCGTAACTCAACCGCTCAAATCGCCTGTCCCCATTGAAATCAATGGAAATGCTCATGATTTGTGCTTCTTCTGGTGTGTGTGCCTCGGCCACCGGGAGGCAGTATAATACACGAATGAAGAAATGTTTTTCTACAGCACTGCCGTAATCCAAGCATGAATCCCTCACGTGTGAGGATTCTCACGCTCTTCTCCTTGTCTCACCTCAGTTGTCCTCTTCTGTATGGCCGCCCTCATCTTCCCCATCGGCTTCTACGTCAACGAGGTTGGAGGACAGCCGTACAAGCTGCCCAACAACACCGGGGTGGGTTCCTCTTACGTGCTCTTCGTCCTGTCCATTTTTTTCACCATCGTGGGCCTGCTCTTCGCCGGGAAAGTTTGTTTACCCGGCTGACGTACTTTACACACGGGAACTGTTGGCCATTTGGAAGCCGAAGATGCAAACTGTTTTTTTGTTGTTTTTTTCTGGTCCTCTCGGGACGACGCTCCCGATTGGAGCGGGAAATACATCCCGTCCATCTGTTGGTTCAGAGAGAGTGAGGGCCTTCCTGAAGGAGCGCACGCGTGGTGGGAAGGTTTCAAAAGATGGATTGAAACAAGGGCGTCTTATCGACTATCTTCAGAAGGAAAGAGTGAACCCCCTTTCACACAGTTTACAAAAACTGATACGTTGTGTGAGCAGCACAATACAATCTAACATTTTCAGTGATGTTGATTTCACTTTTTTTTTTTTTGGTATTTATTTTCTTGCTTTGTAATTCATTTTTTTTCTAAGTTAAAAAAAAAGGCCTAATATATTCCAGTGTATAGCCACCATTAACGTGTAGGGATCAAATTGCCTTAAAAATGTGGATTCGTTTTGTGCTTTAGTTGAGGATTTTAGCGTTGATTTTGTGTGTGTGTGTGTGTGTGTGTGTGTGTGTGTGTGTGCGTGCGCGCGCGCGCGTGTGTGTAGTTTAAAAAAATACAGTGAACTCCTGCTCTTCCGCGAATAATTGACACAGCAAGAAGGTTCATAATTTTGAAAAAAATAATCCTTTTACACTTTGACCTGCAGTCTTGTAAGCGTTCATTACAACAATTTCAAAGAATTCATCTTAATTAACAAGTGTGGCGTTAACCCGCACATCACGGCCTTGGCAACTCGGAGGCAGTGTAATACGGACAGAGTATTATATTTTTATATATCCATAAACTGTAGTCGTAATATTCTTCACAGAAGATAAAGAATATATGCCTTGCTCTGTAGTTTTTATTTGAATATCCGTTCCAAATAGGTGAATCTGTGATTGTCAAACCACGGATATGTGAGGGTTCACTGTATTGCAGATAATTGAGCAGATGTTTTTTTTTTTTTTAAACACTGAAATAAACATTTTTTGTGTCACAATGGATGTGACTCAAGTGTATTTTTTCAGTAAGTTTAGCTTTAAATAAATTTAAGATGGATTGCACTGATATTTGTCATCCGAAAAAAACCCTTTTTCTGTTTCTAAAAAAAAAAAAAACCCCAAAAAAGCAAGGCACGTCTGTAGACTTGAGATCTTTTTGTTTTAATCCAGGTAGGCCATAAGGCTGACCTGAGAGAGGTTATGATGTCTTTTTTTCTGTATCTGTAATGAGGCAGAGCTTCGCCATATCTTCACACCTACTACCCCCCCTCCTCCTTTTCTCTGCACAGGATCTTAAGGTTGCCATGGGAACGTCACAGGATGTGGCAATAGTATATCTTTTTGAAAAGATCCAGCCGCAGGAATCAAGTTGCGTGTGCGTGTGTGTGTTAAAGTTCCCGCGTCGCGTCTCCGCTCAAAAGTTCACTTTGACGTTCCACGTGAATGCGACAGATCCAAACGTGGCTATTTTAAGGCCCGCCGCTCGTTTCGTGCGAGCGAGCCAAGAGATGAAGCGAGAGCACATGGAGGCAGGGTCTGTCTTGATCTGCTCGTTTATTTGCTTCTCTTGTTGAGCACAGACAAACACACAAAAGCCCTTTGAGTGTCTTTTGCCGCAGATGAGGAAGAAGAATGTGAGCGACATACTTTACATCCCGGACCTGACTGGCAAAATGTGTGCAACAAATGTCGGCAAGTTCTTGAGAATGCTGTTGAAGAGTGAAAACATACTCAGCTGCAACCCCTCTTGGTGTTTGGACGTTTGCAAACGTTGCACTGGTTAGAACAACAAACAAAGTTGGTGGTAGTCAGGCGAACCGAGATCGAGCCCCACCGTCTGCTCCATTTATAAATTTAGATGACTACAAGCTGGGCTCTCAGTGAGTAATTTTAACATTTTAAACGGACTAGTTGTAAATGTATCTAGATAGAGAATTTAGGAGCATAATAACGACATGCTGGTCCACTAATTTTTTTATTGTTACTCACTAAGTAATTCGAAGTTGTCGTAAAAACAAAATCAACAACGGTGGGCAGTTAGGTGGCCCTCAGCTGTCAATCAAAAGCCAACCAACAAGAGCGTTTGGCTTGAATGTTATTTTGTATGCTTTCCACACCAAAGCTGCCGTCCACAGTGGAAGTGTGATGGGTTCACATACGGGGGCAGATTTGTCCCAAAACTAGTCACACAAATGCACCCGTTACTTTTTTTCCACTTGTTTATATTTGTGATTTTCACAAACGAATTACTAAATTAAAAAAAAAAACATGTGTTGATAATGTCCACAAATATACTCGCCATTTTCAAACGTGTTTTTGGGTTCCCAAATCCATTCACGATTTTCACGTGTTTTTTTTATGTGGCGTGTGCATTTCTCATGACTTTCAGATCCCTTCGTCGTCCGCTAGGAGGCAGTGTTTCTGTCTCCAATTAACGGGAACGACCCACACCCGGGACCGTTGATTGAAAGGAGGTTGCTCATTGTTCGTCAGGTGTGGAGAGAAAGCCAAGAGCGGATTGCTCAGACAGATGCGTTGCGTGTGCGGGCACGTTGGAAATGGACGGGTTAAAAGTGAAAGTCATCCACATTATTTTACGAACAATGCCTCAAATCATAAAACAAACAAACAAAAAAATGTTTTTATGGACAGAAGAGTGTAACTTACCACTTCTGTTTTTTCTTTCTGTTTGACCAGATTGAAGAGGCTTCTGGCCCAAAGTAGCAGCCGACAGACTCTGAGGACATGCGGAAGGGAGGCCAACCTGCATTTGGACACACGTGAGTATTGAGCGGTGAAGTGTGCTTGAAGAGCTCATATCTGATGTCACGTAGCACCACAAGTTGGAGGTGAGTGCGGCCGCCTTTCTCTCACTCAACTTAAACTTCTGCTTCGTGTACTGCACAACACTGTCAACTACATATAGACAACCCGAGCATCATCAAGCATTTCTGGAATATGTTTTTAACATTGAGGTGGCCCAAGTTGGTTGAAAAATGTGTGTATGTGAATGCATATATTCTCTGTTCCCCGCGGCTGATCCGAGCTTTCAGGCCAAGGATTTATCTGAGGTTCATCACTTTTTCACCAAAGGCTGTTCAATGACGTGCACCGTGACGTTCATTTTGTTTGATCGAGTAGATTTCACAACACAAATCTTCTGCTGAAGCTTGGGGACAGGCTACAATCCCTTTTAAATTCCTACCTGCGTTCGAAATTACTTGCGTTTAATTTGTGGGAATTGTGCCGCAAACCATTTTCTTTACTTTAACATTACGTTTCCCAAAACTTCTATATGTAATGCTCATGCAATCAAATCAATTTTGCTGCTCTGTTTGGCAACCCTTAATGATTGCCACATATTACACTACATCTGTTTAAAATATGATTCTTGTTTTTTAAAAAACAAAATATTCATGATCATATCATTGCAGTCTGTGTGTGCGTGTATTACACGCCGTGTAATAAGAATACAAATGTCAAAATGCTTGACTGTATTTTGTTTCGCCTCTTATCAAAGTGACCACTAGATGACAGTAAACGCAATCCGCTTCCGTGTCTGCACATTCACGAAGAAGGAAGGCTTTTTTTTTTACTTCCTCTTTCTCATCCAATCAAAACACACTCTCGAAAGGCGACGGGAATTTGAAAACCGTCGTGGCGAAATCCTCATTCAAAAAAGATCCCAGATCACCACAAAATGGAGCTGTTTGACGAAGATAGCCTGAAAATGTTCCTTTACGAGAATAGGCTGAAGACGTTTGAGGGATGGCCATTCGATGAAGACTGCACTTGCACACCCGACAACGTGAGTATATGTTGTCCAGCCTTGAGCTAACTACCTTAGCTGTTGAATCGCAACGCGATTGAATTGTAAACAGTTCGCAACCGGAAAGTAAACAACAGCAAAACCTGTGTTTGAGTAATATCTTAATCGTTTGCTTTTTCTGTAAGCGCCGGGGAAATGTTAAAGATTTAAAGACCGTATCGTCCTGCTTTTGAGTGCAATCACCTGAAAATGTTGATCATTGCGTTTCCACAGATGGCTAAGGCTGGCTTCATCCACACGCCTTCGGATAACAGCCCTGATGTTGCCATGTGCTTTTTTTGCCTGAAAGAGTTGGAAGGCTGGGAGCCTGAGGATGACCCGGAGTAAGATGGATAGACACTTTGCTTTGATGCTCAGCTGTCTACTTTTGAACATATGTGCATTTTTTTGGGTACATTTTTCTCTGAGCTCTGACACGGGCAAAAGCCTTCTCATTTTTCTACGTAATCATAATCGTTAAACATCTCAATGTTTAAAAGTATCAACGTTGAGTTCATAATCTACACATTTATTTTTTAAAAATCTAAAAGTACTTTCGGTGTGTAAGATTGCCTCCTCAACCACTTATTTGTCTTCCCGTATTTGCAGGAAAGAGCACAAATCCCATTCACCTTCATGCCACTTTATTGCCCTGAAAAAGAAAGTTGAAGAGCTGACTGTGGAAGAGATTTTCAAGCTGCAACTGGAGAAGCACATCTTTGAAGTTGTATGTTACTTTTGTAACACTCTAAATTATATATTTTTCTTTTTATTTTAACTTTAACACTGTAAATGCCGTTGTATCTAATTGCCCTGTTTTCCACTTGCAGGAAAAATCGTGCAATGAGGGCATCACAAAGTTTAAAGAGGCAGCCAATGTGAAAAGAACAGAAATAATCAAGTCAGCTATGGGTGAAGAATAGCTAAAACTAATGCGTCTTTTGTGTATCTTTTTTTCTTTTGTGTTACTTCTTGTCTTTATTCATTAAACCTGTTTTATCGCTCAATCTCTTTGTTTATGCCGACAGTGTTTTACTACAAAGTATGAATGACACTTGTTTTATTATCACCATTGACATCCCGCCAACAAGGTATTGTCATTTTTTTTCAATTCATGACTACATTTTACAAATAACCTATGACTTAATTAGATGAAAAAAAAAATAAAAGCATCACTGGCACAAGGCAGTATTGCTATGGCTGGACTAAGATGAAAAAAGAAATGCTACGTTGAAAGTCCTAGTTTGAGACAGTATTTTGGATTCATTTTAATATCTTTTTGAGAGCTTTTTTTTCCAGGATATTTCTAAGTTTCTCAAAAATTCTAAGTTTGAAAAGTTTGGTCTGGGTTTTGAAAAGTTATTTTCACAGTAAGGTACTTATGTAAAGAAAAAATATATATTTTATGGGGGATTTAGTTGGGGGGGCACAACATTTATTTGATGGGGGCTGGGCCCCGTCTTGGCCCTGGGGATAAGAACACGGGTCTTGGCACGAGGCTCAGAGGTCCTCCAGTAGATGGCAGTATGGCGCCTAAACGCTCTTTATTCACTACCATTAAACGCCAAGAGAAGAAAAGAAGAACATGCTTAACTGTTATTGGTCAGAATTCGATGCGCGGAATTTAGAGAGATTGTCATCCGGTGTGGACAAAATGCGTCAATTTCTGACACGAGCGACACCAAATTAAATTTTTTAAATGCCCATATTTGACTTTGTCGTTAACTTTACACAGCTTAATTTCCTTAGGTTATGGTCATGGAAGGAAGGTGTGCGGTTGAGACGCTGACAGAGTTTGGATTTTCTTCGGTGTCAAGCACCCTAATAGTGGGATCCCATGTGTTCCTCTGCACTGGAGACGACGAAGTTTATGCTTTCAACGACCAAAACAGAGAGTTGAAGGCAAGTTTGGATTGTACTTTCACTTTTTTTCTCTTAATGACACCATTTTTAATTTTATTTTTGAAAGCAGTGATTGACAAAGTAGCAGCAATACTATGAACTACGAAAGAAAAGGTCAATTGGGAATCAATATAAAAAAAGTCGTCCTGAGCATTGGACTTGAATTAATCGATACAACTGTTTAATCACCCAGTCCTGCTAATCATTCATCTCCAGGCCGTCCTCATCTTTCCTGGTCCTGTGAAGGACCTCGTTGTGGATGAAGACAAGCAGAGCCTCTACGTGGCCTGCTGCAGTGGAGTTTATTGCATCTGTTTTTCATCTTTGTCGTCCAGGTTAGAACTTTTCGTTCATCACAGACCTGCGCTCTTTCATGACATCCAATGCAGTAGCTGTTTAAGACGTATCACTTTTACTCAGGGGACGGAGTTCATTGACAGTGTCAGAGAGATACAGTAGTCACTTAAAATGACATATTGTAACTCTAGTGGTATGGAACTGAAATAGAGAATAAAGGTTGGGAAATACTGTCCTATTCTAAGTGATCTCTCTTCATCTTTAGGATTCAAAGCGCCAACTCATCTACTGCGCCTTGTGTGGAAGTATCCTCCGAGCATCTCATCAGAGAAGATGAAGCCTTCGCACTACTCTTGGTCAATTCTGTGCTGCTGAGCCTCAGTCTGACAAATACATACTGGCTATTGACACGCTACAAAATAGCCGAAGCGTCACAGTTGACCAGCTACGAAACGTGCGGTTCATTTAAAGTGCCGTTGATCTCAGACTCGGCGGATCGCAGCCCAGATGAGTTGAGCGAAAGGAGGCCAGTGCTGTTTTGTGTCCACTCTGCAGATTCGCCATCCTCATCGAGCTTACCAAGTGGTCACGTCCGCCTTGAGCCGCTCCTCTTCAAACTCCTATTTGGGATCGATGCAGCCCTTGCCGAATCTCCGGTTGTTATTTGCGGTCTGCCGGATGGCCGTCTGTGTTTCGCCGCTTGTGTTCCAGGCTCACACCTCCGAGTCCTCCACAGCCTCGAGCAGCCTGTTGTGTTTGTCGGCGCCTCCGCCGGGACTCGAACAGATCCGGCAGACTGTTTGGTGGCGTTGGGTGAACAAGGCAAAGTTGTGCTGGTCGCATCCAAGCGAGGAGGAACGGAAGGAGGAGGCGTCAGAGCTACTTTTACAGAGTTGTGTGTCCCTGGACCTGTGATGTGTGCCTGTCTTGATGAACGCTGCCTTTACTACAGCACTGGTTCAGACCTCCTGGTACTGGATCTGTCACTGCCCTCCACCGAAGGATCAGAGGCAGCAAACGGTGAAGCGGGATCGCCAAACAGAGGTTCTCCCCCGTGGAACGTCATTAGTTTAAATGTGTGTAGGGTCATTGCCTTGGCAGGACATGCAAGGACCACTGAAGGTAAAAAAAACAAGTTATTGAATTACATTGAATGTGCTATTCAGGGGAAACTGAAATTTTACCTGTGAATGTTACAAAGCACTAATCTATCCTTAACTTTTAGGGATTCGTGAATCTGGACATGGTGCTATTTCGTCACATGTGCACAAACATTTCTATTTCTGTCCCAGGTGAAGTTGAGCTGCTTGGACTGTCCTGCAGAGGGCAGCTCCAGAGGATTTCCTTGCCTGTTGGGTTACACGATGGAGGGTCATCCCATCTTCCTTCTCCGCATGCCGGCCGCAGCATCAAAGATGTCCTGTCGGCTATTGGGAATGTTTATGAAAGGTACGCCTTCTCCGCACTGCCACTGTCGTCGCGCCTTGAGCCAGCCTGTGTCGAGTTACACTTCGATTTATCATTGTTGACATTGATTCAGTGGATTTAAGATGGTCTGCCTAGCAACAATGACTCATTGACTCCTAATGATTTAAAAGCCCTTGTGTGGTTCATTTAGGTCATACAGTCCTTCAAAATATACTGTAAATCCTTTTTTACATTTAATATACAGTACAATGTACCCTTGCTCTCTTGAGCTTCATCGTTCGTGCCCCTGCTTTTTTTTTTTTTTTCTATATTCTTTCTTCTGTAGAGCATCCGTGCTGAAAGCGTCAATCAAATCCAGAAACCAAACCCTGAAACAGCTAAATCAGGTGCTCAACATCAGCTTCCTATTGAACGCTGGAGCAGACAGCGGGACGCTCGCACCCGTTCAGGAGAAACCGATCCGATGTCACGCCGCCACCAGCTGGATCACGTTGCTTCAGAAAGACTCTTTGAATTTGAACTGCATCCTGGATAATGGAAGTTCTTATATTCTGGAACAAGGATGGACGTTAAACGTCACCGCATCTTCGCTCTGCAACTCCACCAAGGGGCAAAGCCGCTCTGCGCATTATTTGTTCCCTTTCCAGAATCTTCAGCCAGGGGAGAAACTGGCGCTGTTTACCGTTGAACACACTGCTGGTGGATTACTTGCATGCTCTGCGGATGGTCGGTCCGGCCGAAAGAAACGCTACACCTCAACGCTACGACGTCACCGCTGCGGACACCATCCGAGCATTTTTGAAATGGCGCTGCGGCGGAGGAAGCGATGCGGGGAGCGCGCGGCATTCTACGAGCGTTAAGGTGTCGTCGCAGTTAGTGAGGGACATGTTGAAACCTTCGGAGGGGCGCCCCGACGAGACGCTTCCAAGCGTGTGCGTCGCACTGCTGGACCGCCTCCTCTGTGAGGGCCACGGAGGCGTCAAGATGGAAGGAGACAAGATGGCCATCAACAGCTCAGTGGTCCATGCTCGAGCACCAAACGGTCGCACAGTAAAGCTGACGGCAAAAGAGGTCACATGCACTTTTTGTTGTTTTCATAGTGCAACCCCCCTTTTTATACTAATTCTTTGCAAGAATTGATTCCAAAAAAATAGTAATAGCTCCAGTCGTATTGGCAACAGTGTGATGGAGTTGTGGCTTTCTTGTACAGATTAAGCTAGCGGAGGGCAGTGCGGTGGAGCAGGAGGAGTCCCTGGCCATCGTGGAGGTTCAGGTTGAGAGCTCCTCATTGGAAGCCGTGTGTGGAATGCATCATGCAATCCTGCGGAGAGTCCAGGTTACAAGCGCCCTCTTGGATTTGGATGCAGTGAAGTTGAAATACATTAAATTTAAGACAGAAATATTGGTCTGAACATAAAATGTTTGGTCAACTTTTACGCCGAGAGATGAGACAATTTATCTTAATTCTATTCTGCTTTTTGTCTCTTGTGCTTTGGTGCAGAAAGCACCCGAAAAGCCTTCTGCCACAATCGGGATGCAGAGTTTACGTGTGAGAGAGGCCCTCCTCCGCCTACAGAATTTGTTGCAGAAAGCACCCGAAAAGCCTTCTGCTACAATCATTATGCAGAGTTTACGTGTGAGAGAGGCCCTCCTCCGCGCCGAGGTAAGACTGGCAAAGAAATTGTGCATCGAGAGTGAAGCTCACTACCAAAAACTCACGTCCCAAATTGGTTGTTTACGTTGAGACAAAGAAATTGTACATCGAGAGTGAAGCTCATTACCAAAAACTCACGTCCCAAATTGGTTGTTTACGTTCACTCCTTGTCCACTGCATCGTTAGGAAATGTTGCAGCGGCTCCATCAAAGTCGAGTCTCCTGTACCTTTGGTGAGGGCATGTCCACGGGCAAGGTGACATCGTGTCTTCTTAGTGTATACGAAGAACTCCGACGAAATGAAAATTCTCTACTTATTATTTAACATCTGTACGGGTAGACACCGTGACAACTCAGACTTTGATCACATGCACAAGATTGTAGGAAGAATTTGTGGCATGGCTTTTATTACAGCTTGCATGTAAGGAAGTAATTAAACGGTTCTGGACTTGTGCCCTTAGATGAAATGAAAAGAGCTACATCTCTCTGACCCGATTCTGCTAAAGTTCTTGTTTCTACAAATACGCCCCCAAAAAATGTCTAACAAGAGACTGGACATTTTAAAAATCCAGATGACACAATGATTGTTTAAAGGTGCGCTGGTTGTTCAGGATTCCACTAGGGGGCAGCATGTTGCTGTCAAATTTGTTTCCTCAGACAGCCGAGTCAGCAATAACACGAGAGGCTTGAAGAACGGAGAATGGCAATTCTTGTTTTTGAGGAAATGCTAAAACTTGATCTTGTTGATGGTTTTGCCTCGGAAATTATCAATGCGCATCATAACACTTTGACATTGCTAATCATAACACCAGTTTGAGCTGCCGAAACTACAACGGGTACAATTGAATTGTAAGAATGTGCCATCGCTTCACCGCAACTGGGATTAAAATGTGACCAAGAACCAAAACCTTGCCCGTCGTTACTTTGTCTACATTCCTAAAAACTGAGAGGCCATGAATACAAAATCTACTGTGACAATTATTGTATTGCACGCATGTAGCGGACATGAGTGTTAGTTACAGCACAACACGGTAGAATCTCCTGTTTCTCGAAACCTGACCTCATCTGCTAAGAAACTCCTTGGGAGAGTTGTACTCCACTTATAAGGGACTCAGTCTAAAAGGGGACCTCCATTCTCCCTTAACAGTGCCTGCGCCTTTCTCAAATGACCCCCACCCACCCCCCATGAGTGGCAAGTGTCATTACGCATCGAAAGCACCACTCTGTTTCCTTGAAGAAGAAACGATGATGGGAATTAGACGAGTGCCTTAAAAAAAAGAGAGAAAATGCTTCGGCTTTATATCTAAATAGTCCATCATGATGTGAGGCGGCCATTTGAATTACTACTCAACACAACATAATTGGAATCAAAGCATAAAGGGCCCCTTTGCAAAATCCGTCTTGTGCCTAAAACTTCCATTTCTAGACACTGCCGTCTCCTTGACAACAGAACCAACAGCGAGGTCACAGGTATGTTTTTTTTTTTGTTTGTTTTTGTTTCTCCTTTGATTAATACTCCCACAAAGCCGAGCTGCTCAGACTGAGTCCGTCTGCTTTCAGCGTGCCTCCCTGGTCCCCGCGCAAATAGCGGCCGCCGCTGCTGCGGATGGCGAGGCGGCCGCGCTCCAGGAGCTCCACGCTGAAATCCTCGGGGACTTCGCCGTCCGAGCACACCAGACCGCCGCTGTTGACGTACCAGAAGCGACCGTTCGCCCCTGCGAGGTAAATGCACACACATCACATTGAGTAGGAATGTGACAGTACAAAATTAGGTCCCCAAAAAAAGTTTGTGGATACAGAATTGCTAAAGAGATTCAGCTCGACTCCCGAGAAAAGTTTTAGTCCGGTAGAAACTCAATTTGGCCCAGGTTGTTAGTGGAAGTTATGGAAGTGCAGATCATCGGTAAACTATTTCTTTTTAAGTTTACCGGGTCTTATATTATCCTATACCACAAAGTGAGTAGGCCTCATCATTTTTGACAGCTTTGGAACGCCATACAGAACAAACATAGTACCTCAATAATACTAAAATTTTGACTGAGTTGATTTTTGTGAAAGAAAAAAAACTGCTCAGAATGCATTGGTTTGATGTCCAACAGTTTTGTGCCATCCTTGAATTGTAACTTATGTATAAAAGCCCTTAGCACTGGGAGGGAAAAAAATCACAGCACTTGGTTGTTTTGTTCTTTGCTTCAAAACCTTTATTGTTGGGTTAAGATAGTAGATAGTAAAATATATATATTTTTGCATAGTTGCGGCAGGGCTCGGTTTTCTTTCAATCCAGAGCCGCTAATGTGGAACTTGTTGCCAGGCAAGGTTAAGTTCTTCCACGACAACTCACCTAACCAGTCATGGAACAGAAAAAGTCCATTTCCAAACCATTGGAAAATATCGACTTGATTGAAAATTGTATTTATTTATTTATTTTTTGTATGGTGAAGTGTAAATATTTCCCTTCACTCAACGAAAACCACATTTCCAAAAAGCAAAGTGGAACAGTCAACGCGGTTGAGTCGTGCGTGTGTTTCCACTGTGGGGGAGCGCGCTAGTGACGTCTTCATCAGCGTGGTGTGACAGCATCACAACACAGTGCGATCAAAACACAAAGTCGTTTTATTTCGGTTCGATTCCTGTTGTCGGAAAAACAATTATCTGTCGAGTACCGATGGCTGCCGTGTAAAGTTAAAAAAATAAATAAAATGCCGCCCTGTGATTGGCTGCCAGCCAGTGAATTTAGACCTCTATCAATCACTTAGTCCTTCGCAGTGAAGTGTTCGACTGAAGTCGGTCTGGTTCGCGAGGCCGTGTTTATGTGCCGACCTTTAATGTGGTAGGCGCCGTCGCTGAATTGCAGGCTGAAAATGTCGTAAACAGATCGGCTGGCATCCAGAGTGTTGGAGTTCTTGTGGTGGCATATGAAGCCGTTCTCCCCTCGGAGGATCAACGTGGGCCGGTTGACCAGTTTCAGACTGAGCTGTTCGTCCTCCCCTGACAAAAGACGACAGCGATTTTACAAAGGGAAATAAATCGGAGACTGACAAACAAAAAATAAAATTATCTAAAAATCTCACCAACGGACTCACTGACAGCCAGTAACTGTCCATTTTTCTTGGTGCAGATGTATTTGCCATTGTTTGCTTTTAGCGCCATCTTGTGACCAAGCCACTCCATTGCAAACATGCTGTTTGCTGAACTGCATACGGTGGCATTAAAATGTCACAAACAGAAGGAGAAGCTGAGCGCGCCCACTTAATCCCGACATGTCGCCTTGACGTTTAAAGGCGCCTCATTGCGAATGGGAGCATCACTCACACTTGGGTGGCTGTCGTCTGGATGCCTCCGTGGGCCACCAGGGCCCAGTAGTTTCCCCGGCTGGTGCGAAAGGTGCACTTGTTGTTCTCCTTGTTCATCTCCATCTGAAACGTCTCCATCTCCGTTTCATCTTCCTGGTTGGCGGCGAGGCTTACTCCTGGGAAAGCGAGCGCAAAGGGCGGTCACGTCATGTTGCAGTGGTTGGTCAATGGCAATGAAAATATGATCCATCAAATCCTAAAATTTAATTAAATGACCAGTTATTATCATTGTTTTTACACAAGCTCCCTCTGGTGGTACATATGAGAATTACATAAATTCAATGCAATTGCACCGCGTCTCTTATGAACGGTGAGTTGGAAATGTTTGAATGGAATATTGAAAATGGAAAAGAGACAATTATAGGATACATCTGTTTCCTTTGCTACTGTATTCTAAGGATGGTCACGATGGTGGTCTTTGAAGAAGTGATTATTTTACCAGCCAATACTTGGTATAAAAACTTTCAGAACCACTCACGCGACCACTAGACAGGCAGATTGTGCAGGCCTAAACCTTTAATGAGATGCATAACACAATCTCCCCAATGAATATTCTTAATCCCTTAACAACGGCCCGCTTATCTCTCTCTCCTTTCTGGTCATCCTTCTCTAATAATCTTCTCCGCCTCCTCCTCGCCCCTGACCCCCCCACCCTCGCCCCCGTAACCCTACCTTTGGGGCCGGCCTATCTGCCCTCTTTCACAGCTGGGTTCAGATATAATCAGCTTTCGAGTGCTGCCCATCCAGCCTCTCAATCCCCTCAATAAAAGAATCGAGCAAAAAAAAAAAAAAAAAACGGGAAGAGCGGCGAATTTCTAGGTCCACACTTAGCAGGATGTGCAGATAATTGGTGACGCCACTCAAGTCTCAAGGAACGAATGATCAAATGTAGGCAGAGCAAGCTGTAAAAATGAGAGTGCATTTACATTAAGATATTTTCGGAAAGGAAAGAGCGGCTTTTCTGAAATGTGAATTATTCTATTGTGTGTGTGTGTTATATGTATTACATGTATTCCGACTAGAGATTTGATGTACGAGGGGAAAATATCCACGTACCGTAATTTTATTTTTTCCAATGCAAGGGCTCTCTTGGGTGAAAAGTACCTTTCAAGGACGGCACAAAACTGATGAACGAGAAATCAACATTCATTTTGTAAATTTTTTTTTTCCTTCACGAAAATCAATTACAATCATAAATTCAAAAGATTTTTTTTTTTTTCCTCAAGGGGCCACTCAAGAGTGTGGTCTGCATTTGCCCATCCCGGATATAAAACGGAACAACTATTTTCTTGCCACTATCAAGCAGCCTACAAAGGCCATATAGATGCAATCATGCATCATGAAAAGTACCATACTATCCCTTCTCCCTTTTGAAAGCTCTTATTTCAAGAGATTGCATTTGTTGTCTAATTTTTTATTTTTTTTCTCCAGTGGCTTCTCATTTCGATTGCGCGCGGATGAGAGAAAAGCGAGAGTTTGATGACACCTGACAAAGACGTCATGCTCGCTGGGCTACCTGGACACGTTAATGCACATCTTATTAACTTGTGATAAATCAGGCGTTGGGAGGTGTGGGTGGGTTGGCGGGGGGGGGGTGACTCATCATAGGTATGAAGTGCGTCTGAAGCAGACATGGCCGCCCCTCTGCTGTGCAGCCATGCCTGAAGGTACTCTCCTATCGCATCTTCCATCCTGAGTCAATGTCATGCTTTGTCTTCCCATCCCATGTGTCCATTTCACACTAATTCAACCCAGAAACGATCCTCCGTCAGGGCTCAGCTGGAACCTCGCGGCCGCTGCGCCGTCGATGGGCGGAGGAGGAAACGGGAGAAGAGCGGCGAAAGAGATTGGATACGGTGAAATCTGAGGAGCCAATCTGAAGTTATCAAAACCTCTGCTGATGGCCATCGCAAGGCTCGGTCAAGCATGCACAACAAGGCCTTGTCATCATCACCGCCGCCGCCGACGTAAGTTTTGTTGTTGTCGCTCGCACACGCAGATGGGAATCTTTGCCATGCGCCTTCGTTTTGGACGCAAGCCCAACACCGGCTCCGCTTTCTGCCGTTGTCCTACCTGCAGTCTGAAAGTGGAGCAGGCCCGACTAATCCATCAGCCATAGATGGCTCTGGCATCTATTATTAATGGCAAGCTGATGCCACTATCCCCCTGCCTCCTTTTTTTTTTTTCTCTCCCAATCTGTTATCTTTCTCTACTGCATTTTGTCTTGCCTTTTATGTTGCTTCTTTCATTTCGACTTTTTTTTTTTTACTGCTCCCATTGGATGCTTGCTGTAAACGTCAAACAGAGAATTACACGCTGTGTATGTATGTACGACCAGATAACGCTGATTTAGGAAAAGTCTGCTAGCTTAATGCTACACCAGAGTGGCTAACAAGCGTGATCGGCGAACCAATTGCACAAGCAAACGAGTGATGAATGCTTGGATGGAATCTGAATCTTTTTCACGCACAGCAATATTAGTGTACACGCAAAAAAAAGAATGAATTATGAAATACTGCTTCTCATTCTCATAATCTACAGCATCTACCTTGAATAACATCCAAGTTTCTTTTCTAGCAGGACTCGCTTGGTCCATTAGCAATGGGAAGGAGCACAAAGTGAGGTCAGATGACTGCGGTTCTGAAGTCCTTTGAGAATCCCCCAACATCACATCGTCGACTCCCTTGTGCGCTTTCCCTTTCACCTGCGGCTCCTTTCATCATCGCGTCGCGCAGCAGAGGTACACACACACACACACACACACACACACACACACACTTCCCCGATTCACTCGGCTACCTCAACAATTAAGCTAGTTGCAAACAAATAAGACGCAGTGCCTTGACATCCACGGCGCCGGCTTCGTTAAATAACTGACATTTCCATTCAAAGAAGCTATTTAAAGCAATTGTGCGGAAGAAATAATTACACTTGCCACAGCAGCACAGGGTGAACCGACCGCACGGTTTGCTTTTTCTTTCGCTTATGATGAATAATGTTGAATGTTCCCGTCAAACATAGCTTTTGGAATTATGGCCAAAACGTTCAGCCTTAGTTCCGCTGGACCATACCGCATTTTCCCCTCGCATTTAGATTATATTACAAAAGCCTGGCATTTGAACGGGAGTGGTTCGACGCTTCATATCCGTTTTTTTAAAATATTCAGTTGCTAAAGGTTTCACGCTGGTAACAATTTGAGTGGGGCCCTGTATTTGAACTGTATTTCTATTTCCTTTATTTGTTATGCGGCTAGCGTTGCGGAATGGACTGTGTTCCACTTCACTGTATTGTTAAATTAATACGACTCCGGGCCATGGGCGGCGAGTATTTGTTTGTAATGCAGGGTGGGGGGGCTAACTGACCCTCAAGGGCCACATTTGATTTTTAAATGGTTGGATGGGCATTCATAGATGGGGGGGAGGGATGCGGGGGGATTTTTAAATTTTCAGAAAGTATGTATGTATGTATAAATTAATCAAAATAAAATAATGAATAAATACAATCCTAATCTAAGGTCAGAGGGTGAGGTTAGATTGGGTGAGGCCAAGACGCTTTTGGCCAGGGGGGGGGCTTGTGTTTCTGAAAGCAGACGCTCTCTTTACCTTCCAGGAACGGGGGACTAACTTCATCAATAATTCAACACACTCCACCTCCCCGCTCGCCACAGTGGGACACGATGTTAGTGTGGGCGTGTGTGATGGTGAAAGATGGCGCTTTTGTTTGTGCGAAACGAGCGGAAGGAGGGCGCGAGGAAAATGTACAATAGGCATGATGCAAGTATGGAAATTTACACTTAACGCGCAGAGATGCTTGTAGTCCGTCCCTCAGAGCAATCGATTGAACCCGCTCCCGGTCATTTGGTTTCTGTCGGCAGCTACCGCTGCTAACCAGGAACAATGAACACGGGGCCGGATTGGGTTTCAGCAAACCAAGGTGGAGTAACGTGAGCCCGCAGACAAGAATCTGCAGCCAGTGGCCCGGCGTGCTGACAGTATGCTAATCCGAACCCCAATCAGACCAGCGCGCGCCTTTCAACCATCAGCAACTGAACACTTAGCAACCACTTGTAGCGCCCTTCGACTTCGATGTAAAATGAGCCTCGGCAAATTGCAATCTTTGGAATTTTGCACACGTATCAAAGAAATGCGGCCTTGTTTTGGTCAAGAATGGACTTTAAAGCCGATGCGGCGCAGCTGTAATCCATCAACGTTGCGGTGCGCTGCCATGTCGGCGTGGCTGATCAAATAACCCACTTCAACTGCCCTGTGACAAGACCAAAGCGTAAATAGATCATGCAATATCAACACAATTCTGCTACGCGCGATATAGGTTACAAGCAGCTGTTTCAGTGAGCCCAGTGGGGGAAAAAGAAAGGCTTCTTAACAGCATTAGCCAGCAAAGCTGCTACAGGGAAAGCAATAGACTTATTTATTTTTTTTGAAGAAGTACATTTATGATTGATTATGTCGTGAATGACTTGAAAACGACGCAACAAAACAGACTTCCCATTCATTTTTTTTCTTAATTCACCTGGCCTCTATGACTCAAAAATTTCCCGAGTGAATGTTTTTGTGCTCTTTCTGAAACGCCAAGCAAGTAGCGCCAAAGTCCTGTCAAAACAGGAAAGTAGTACACTCATGACTGTCAACAGAGTGATGCATCTCAATTGATGATAAGCTTTGTATGTCGGGGTGGAGCTAAATTGAGCCTGGGTTGCCATGAGGGCAAATTTTTAAAATGAAATCTTGCGATGGCATGACCTACCTTGCCTTATGGAAACGTATTTCCCATTGGCTGCCATCAGAACCACTTGCGGGTGGCTCTCCTCCAGGTTGAACAATTCGTCCTTTCCCGCTTTCGAGCAGCGGCCCGACCTCAAGGTGCCAGCGGGGCCCATGGGCGACAAGTACTTCCCCTCACAGTCCTTGAAAGCCAACTTTCCACACTTGAGCTCCAGCGTGTAGGTCGTGCCCCTGCCGCTCTGCTGCACGAGCTTCCCATCATTGCTGAGGAAGCGGCCGTCGCAGGTCTTCAGGCAGTACTTCCCGTTCTGGTAGACGAGGGTCAGGATGGCGGCCACCCCCCAGGGAATGTTCATGTCCACAGAGATCTCGCCGTCTTCCGCGGAGAGATGGGCGTAGCGCTTGCGGGCCACCGACAACAAGTTGGCCTGCGGGTGCAAAGCCAGGTGCACCGCCCACAGCTCGCCGTCGCCGATGCCCTGTGCAAAGCAGGACAGGTAGTCCCTGGAGCCGCCGAAAAAGCGCAGGTGCCGCTCGGATTGAAGAGCCCAGCGACCGTCCGACTGGGCCACGATGAGGAAGCGGCAGTCCGAGTGGCGGCCCTCTGCCTCGCAGGTCACCTTGCCGTCCTTGTCGGAGGCCAGGTAGCGTCTGAGGTGGCTGCGTAGGTACACCACCCGGGTGTCCTGGGAGTCTTGCTCGAGAGTCCAGATCTGCTTCTTCTTCATGCTTGGAGCTGATGCGTTCACCTGACAGGCATAGACAGCGTAGGGTTAGTGGGAACTGTAATTTTTTTTCCCCGATGCTCCTCTTCATCACTGCGGCGCTCAGTATGCGGCTTAGTAATTGATTTGACTCCAGGTCGGCTGACTCCTGAATCAGTTTAGATGTCATTGGCCTATGGCAGGGGTGTCGAAAATTCAGTCTCCAGGCCATTTGTCGCTTTGGTGTAGCAGATTTTCCAAATAGTCTGTGAAAGGGCAATAAATAAGTGGAAAAAGTTTGGACGCCTTTGGCCCAGGGGGGAGTTCCACCCTGCTCTGTGACCTTTACATGTTGTGCCTACTAAAACCATCAAAACGTGTAATTTTGTGGTTAACAAAGAATTTATGCCCTTTTATCCTTCTTTTTTTTCAACTGCGTATTCCCCAGAGGCAAGACATAATGGGAAAACTCTGGTAGCATACGATTATTTTTTCAAACCTTGTAGCCAAATCTCTCAGCTGTGAGGTAGCGACCTTCGTGGTTAATCAGACCAAACTGAAGCGTCAAAGGCTGATTCCCATTGGATGGCATCTTAACCTACAAAAAAAAAAACAGAAGAAAGGAAGATTACAGTGTTTTCCGCACTCTAAGTTGCACCTAAAATTTTCTCAAAAGCTAACGGCATGCCTTATAATCAGATGCGCCTTGTCTCTGGTCATTACAGTAATATGTCGACCCCAAGATGGTTCCTTGCTGGAGACATGCTTCCAATGTCATAACATGCTGTTGGTTCATTGAACTGTGTCGCTGCTTTATTAAATAAGATTTTGTTGCAGCTCCGCAAAAAAGGAGAGCTGTGGTGTTGTTTTTTAAAATGCACACCTTATTAATGGTTTTCACAGTCTCAACAAATACAGCTACGTCTTTGTCCGTCTCCGTGCCTTCTCTTCTTCCGTTAGACTCGAGAGGCGTTCATGAACGCCTCAGAAAAACGTATATTAACGATTAATTCAATGAAACTACGAAAATTGAAAATAATGCATCAAAACAGAAAATTACAAAATAAATTCTGTAGCCCCCCTCCAGAATTTATTTTGTGATTTCCTCATTTGTGAATACAGTACACAACAAGGGAATAAATAAACACTTCCGAGACAGTCCAGTCTCCTCCATTTTACTGACATCTGATCGTTCTGTTGGAGCTACGTTCGCGGAAATGCCAAAGTAAATTCTGTAGGGGGGCTATAGAATTTATTTTGTCATTTCCTCGCTTGATCTTCTGTTTTGATGCATTATTTTCAATTTTTGTAGTTTCATTAAAGTAATCATTAGTGTACATTTTTTCAGAGGCGTTCATGAACGCCTCGAGCCGAACGGAAGGAGCGTAGCTCCTTCTAGTGGATGCATAACGTGACCGCAGCCACTCTTATAGCTTCTATTCTTTGCGCCTTATAATGCGGTGCGCCCTCCATATGAAAACAGTTTTAAAATAGCCCATTCATTGAAGGTGCGCCTTTTACTCCAAAGCGCCTTACAGTGCAGAAAATAAAAATATACATTTAGAAAGCCTGTTTATGCCATTGGTGACCGTAATGGAGACTGCACGTCTTAAAAGTAACGTTACGCTTTGCGATTACTGCTACACGGTGTCATTAACTTCGTCCCCTTTGTCATTTTCGAAGCTTTCACGCAGATTTGTAAGGTTAGACGTTGGACTTGAGAAAGCGGCTTGGACAACAATCTGTGTTTTAGTTCATTTCCGAAATGGGGCACAGCCAGGGTGAAACACAAACAGCTTTCTTTAAACTATTTCCACAAAGTCGGAAAGCGACAACTGGCCAAAATGTTCCTTTGTCCCACAGACTAACGCCCCCTGTTGTCTTGGAGGGTTACCTTCTATTACTTCAACAGAGTGCCGCTCGCCGGTCTTTTTGACGCGTTTTAAGGTTCGTTCGTGCTGCTCGTAATTTGTATGCGTCTGCCCTCTGTTTGCTGCCCTTGTCTAACTTCAAATCATTGTTTCAGTCCCATAGTGGGAAAGAAAAACAAAGTTCCGTTTTTTTATAAATTAATGCAAGTCGTTACGGTTAATTGCAGCGCTGACAAGGTAGATTTCCTGGATTCGACAAAATTACCAATGACTCATGCTGCTGTGGGACAATTAGCAGTTAATTTAGATTTATTCCTTTCTTTGTAGCACTTTGCCAAATCAACAGGGGCAGAGAAGAAGCAAAAAAAGAGTCGAGGTGATGTCATGGGGAGTGATGAAATGCAAACATCGCTAAGACAGGAAATCAATTCATTAAGGTAAAGCGTAGAAAGCACTCCGGAGAGCGCCAAATTCCGCCCCCCCCCCACCCATGGCTTTCACGATCCAGTTTTCCAGCCGCAGCCTCCTAATTTACTTACTGTGGTTTTGTGGCTTCCTCTCCGCTGTTTCTGCCGCTCTAATTCTAGCTCCCAGATTGAAGAGGCTTCTTTCAGCAAGTGGCCTGTTGTAATTCCTGCCTTCTTTTTTTCGACGTTCCCTCCCAGCCTCGACTGGCCCTAATCAGGTTAGACGCGGCGAAGACTTCCGTCAGCCTCCTCAATCGAGAGCCTGTCGTCGGTCTCTCATGCCGCGCGGACTCATTTTGCTCTCGCCTGCTTATCTCCTCGTCGGGCAATCCCCCCCCTCCCCCTCCCGCCTGTTGAACACCGCGTTCTCGTCCTGCCCCGATCACCTTCTTGACTTCTTCACGCCGAGGGTTCATTTGAACGGTGTCTCATTATTTTTTTTTTTCCCCTGCCAGTCGTCTTCTGCTCATTTCCGGACATTGAGGTTTCTTGTACCTCAGCCCTCCTGACCTTGTTCGTCTCACCTCCTCGACATCCGGATTTCTTAACTTTGACCGGTGCGGAAGAACATCCTCAACCATCCAAGGACTCCTTTCGCTGACACATGAGGTGTCCGTCACAAAACGATGCTTGCCTTTGTCACCTTAAGCTTCCCCATCACCTGTCCCAGCTGACATGTGTCGAAGTAATCTTGCCTTTGCTCTGGCTTCTCTGCTCTTTTTTTTTTTTTCTTCTCAACTTTGCTCTGTTCTTCGCTCTTGGCCACATGAAGACAGGTCAGTCGATACACCCACGTGCACAGGCAGTAACCAGAGCGCTCCTTGTGCCCGCTCTCCTCGAGCTCCCCTTACCCCGGAACAGAGAGGCTTTTAGTTACACACCTTCTCTGATTGCACACTCTGCGGGTCAGCTCTAATAGAACCAAGAGGCAGACTTTTGTGTATGAATCCCACCTCCCCCCCCTCACCCTTCCTCCCACATGCGTGCGCCTGTGTCTGTGTGTGAGTGTGTTACTGCGAGTAATCAGCCTCTCCAATCAGACGATTGTAAACAGACATGTCTGTTCCCGAATCCTTCTAATCCTCAACCCAATCATCTCAACCTGGCTAATCTACCGGCACGGCCCCACCCCGACTATTTGGCAGGGCGCATTTGCGCGCACCGTGTACATGAGGTCGGGAAACGCCACCCTAAGATCGTGCACAATGATAAAATAGAATGAAGATAAAGTAATTAACCAACTTTCAGGGGAAAAAGCGAAATTAATGGGACGGTGTAAAATATCGCAGAACTCCCGATAGGATAAACGCTCAGTGCTTCAGATTCCAAAAAAGTGGCTCATGTTTCCACAAAATTGGAACCACTCGCACAAACCAAAGTGAAAACAACAATGCTCAGTTTTCATTTTGCATTTTTTTTTGTGTGTACTTGTTTTGTGTGCGATCGAGGTGGCAGAAGCACTGCTCACAAATCCAAAAAAATAAAAAGTCATACAGCGTTATTGTCATCAGCGCCATTATTTTCATTACTGTTACTATTATCACTTCCACTGTAATTCCCCCTCATGTGTGTTCTATCTCACGCACCATTAGTTCAGCCCGTGTGGCCCCCGGGGGCCGCGTCATCGTCTGCTGATGTGGCGGCGAGCCCGCCGCCGTCGGCACGCGGACGCCTGTCGATAGCCAGCCAGATGTCCCCCCCCCCCTCGCCCTCCCCCCGCTTATTGTGCGGGCGGCCGTGCCAGGTTCACCGTGGCAACCGTGCGATGGTGCTTTAGAGGCCATTACGTCGGCCCTCTGATGACACTCAAATAGCTATCATTACACCTCCTCCAAGGAGAGACACCCCGAGCAGGGAGGGGGGAGGCTGGGAAGAGAGGGAGACAAAAAAAAAGAGGTAGAGGATGTAGACAGGAGCAGTAAGAGGAGGAAAGAAGAGAGCGGAAGGGAACGAGGTGGCGAGGGCAGAAAATCTGAAAGGTGAATGCTGGAATGATGGCATGAAATTGCACGGCAAGACGGGATGAGAGAGAGAAGTGGGAGTGACCGGGAGGGAGGATTCAAAATGACCGTTTTGGAGTGAACTGCCTACAGGCCTTTTTCTCCCCTATTAACTTCTATTCTGCCATTACTTGGGACTGCGGGAGGTTGGCTTGCACCCTGCAGCGTCCCGTTATACTTCTACAGCCCCCCCACCACACCCGTCCTACACACACGCACCGTAACCTCCCCCACTCCTTTTCCAAATTGCAAACTGGATGAACGAGAGATCTGCGGCTTTCGTGTGTTTGTTTCTTCTTTTACGCTCGCCCTTTTCTCTCAATCCCTTTGTCCATTTTCTGAGATGGTAGGACGTAGGGTTTCCTGCTTGGCTGCTGGAATGCTGCGGCCCACCTTGGTCCTATCTTTTGCACTCAAGAGGAGCTTGTGCACATGTCAAACTTTTCAGATTCAATATTGGGTGAAGAATTTTTTTTTTTGCGCCCCCGAGTTGATGTTACAAAAAATGAAATCATCTTTACGTGCTTGACGCTCTGTAATTTACATGTTTTGCCTTTCTGTAGCGCTCTATGAGTTCGAGATACTTCCTTGACAGAAATGACTACTTTCTTATTGGCCTTAGCACAATCTTGTGGCATCTTTGCCCGTTATAGAAAGTGCATGAAACTTTGCAGATTGGCGCCAATCGGTGAGTTTCGCGGCAAATAGCTGAGAGCAGATTTCCCCTAAAAATCCACAAAGTGAAAAGTTAACTGCAACTAGTTAGACGCTCACTGGATTTCTTTAAATGATCCTTTTCGGACCAACTAAGTGAAATGATAAATTCCTAATGAGGTAGTGAATCCCCGTTGTAGTTATTTCCAGAGGTGATTTGATGATGTTCTCTTCTCCCTCAAACTCACCAACATGTTTTATCGCTCGTGCTTTGTGCACTATGAAAAGCGACTTCCCGTTTCCCAAATATTTTCTGGACCCTTTCTACTTGTTAGACCGATTCGAGCAAGTTCAGAACTACTGTGTAGTCGTTCTCGCATATGGTAGTACCGGCAGCCACCGCTAAGAGGCGACATCACCCTTGTATTCCAGCAGTTGTGTGCGCGGGTGCTTGGGAGGGCGGCGGGGGGCACTATACTGTACAATCTCGGTGGTGGAAAAAAACAGGAAAGAAGATTGATGCTTGTTTCGTCACTGTTGGTGCCTGTGTGACTGCGCAGCCCCGAGAAGGGAATAAGCCCCTTTTTAAATGGTTGCTTTTAATGCGTGCGTGCGTGTGTGTGTGTGTGTGTGTGTGGGGGGGGGGGGGTATTACAGAAGCGAATCAAACCTGAAACATCAACGCAATTAAAACAAGGCTGTCGCGGTTACACAGGACGAGCGCGTTTTGACCCACGAAGACGCGTACGAATTGAATGTTCTGGGTTATTCTTTACCGCTGCTACGCTTGCATTTCTCACGTGCTTTTAATCTCACTGCTTCTCGTGCATGCTGATTTGATTATGATTAGGTGAAGGTTGAAAA